GACGTGTCGTGATTTTAGGCTCAAACACGCCCTAGCGGATCCAGGATCAGGGATCCATGCGTCTAACAGAGATGCTGTTGCTTATTTGCAAGTACTGGAGCCAACTTCCTCTAACTCAATCTATCAAAGCAGATTTAAAAATGACACTTGACACAATATAATATTACGTCATCTCTTATAAGCTACGTTTCAGTTCACTAAATTAGAAAACCGTAATGTTTGAAACACACACAGTATGAAGCTGAAAATACGGTTTACCTTAGGCCACATTTTGAACTGTTGTTTTTCCGAGTTCAGGAAATTTGTGATACATATGAAATTAAGCACGAGACTTTTATAATCCAATTTTAACCGCTATTCAATCAAGGTGATATGACAACACCGGTCGTTAGATTTATAACGAAATTTTAATAACGGCGATATATGATAGTAAAATTTTTTTGCTTATTCCTATTATTATACCAAAATTAAAGTTATCCAGCGTGAAGATCTAACAAAATAATCTTCGCCTTATCTGTTGTAAAACAAAAACACTATGTGAAATTGGTCTCTTAGAGAATTAGAAAACTATATGAACTTAAATATAATTGTTTTTAGAAAAAGATTTTATGTCTTACACATTTCTTCGTAAAAAGCTATTATTCTTAAATTCTTAATTAAATACAAAGACCCTGAACGGGTAATTAATAGTACTTTTATTTTCAATACAGTGCTGAAAATGTAATCCAGGACCGAAATAAACTAAAATGTCTAATATGTAATATGTTTGATATTTTTTATTTATTGACAAATATTTAGAGCATAAATATTTAGATATAACTTACACTTACTAAATATAAAGTTCTTATCACGCCATTAAACAAATCTTTACATATAAATAAGTACTTAATAATTAAATGGATTGGTAATAATGAAATAATGTTAATACAACTATCTATCAAAGAAAGCAATAAACGAACTATATTAGTTGATAAACACTTGTAGTATACCTTATACACTTGCCAAATCTTATAATACACTATTTAGTCCACTGAAGAATTCAGATGTGAGAGCTCTCCTTGCCGACACCACACTTGAGGCGAACAGGTCAATATCAACAGTTAAATTGTTAAACTTACCCGCCGGCCTAATCATAAAGCTGTTTCCTCTGTAATTGGTGTTCACATTAGGTGTAAACAATAGGGGTTTAAATACAGGTTTTAATTTTTTTTGCGTCCTGGTATGGTATGATAGGACTATTCAAATTATTATAGAGATCATTACTGTGTGGTCTATGGTGACTTACAAACATGTGTGTAGTAGTGTGCAGTACTGTATTTCGTCACTTTTTGTGTGTTTCGTCACTAGCCAGCCTAGCTCCTTCTAGAAGCTCAGAAGTTTCCTGGTCACTTCGTAGACTTCACTGATTTCTGGTCGTTTGAAGCCACAGCCACGCATTCCAGGACTATGTAGCTGACTGATTCCATTGCGCTGAAATAGCACAAGGGACTGTCGGTCGCACCAAGAACTTATTTTTATAAAGAAGACAGTGGCCCGTAATTGTCCTATCATTATTAGATTAATTATTATGTTGAGGCTTAGAAGTCACTTTTTCAATATCTGGCAGTACCGTTTTGGACTGTCTGCAGTCCACGCTTTGGAGTTTTGTGGATTTGGCGAATCCAGGTTCGTACTTGCTAAGAAGAGCAAGTGAAGCGGGTACGGGCCAGCTAGCACCATTTCGGATCTTCTCTTTGCAAGCTCTTCGGCAGCATCATTGCCGAGAGATCCATGTGTCAGCATGAAGATGATATCATATTAATTTATAATATTTATCTGATATTAGGTATTTAATGACTAGAAATTTTTTAATTCATATGAACATTCTTTTCGTAACAATGTCTAAACATTGTAGAAAACAAGTGTGAAATCACTGTTACCTTGATCATATCACAGTTTTTTATTATAAAAGACGTGAAATTGATTAACATGTATCAGTTTCAATTACACTTTCATACAAAATCTAGCTTCAAATATCTTAAAATGATCGCAAAGGTACATTTGATATTTAAAAGTAATAATTTGTGGATAAGCTATGCAATAAAATAATAATCTTTCTAAGACTGGAAGAGAATGCTACTAATTTGTAGCTAATTTCGGCTATATAGTTTTTGATTGTTGCTTCTAAATTTGTTTCTATTGTAACTTTTGCTTTTTACAGGTTTTATGCATTACAACTTTCCTTGCTGTTGTGACAGCGCAATATGGCCACGGCCACAGTGATGCACACTCTTCCCAGCATTTCGTTAAACACGATGGACATCCGGAAGTCGTCCACGGCCATCACGGACATCATGACTATCATGTAACTATAATACTTCTTCAATACTGTTTGACACAGAATCCCAGTTCCTAATTTTATAATTTCGTTAAATAGACTCATCCCAAATATGAGTTCGACTACAAAGTGGAAGACCACCACACGGGAGATATGAAATCTCAACATGAGCACCGAGATGGAGACGTGGTGAAGGGCGCATACTCTCTGCACCAGCCTGATGGCTCCGAGAGGACTGTCCACTACCACGGAGACCATCACACTGGGTGAGCACTAATGTTTGAAAACATAACAGAAATTATTTTGGATCTCTGACCTTTTAAAGGGTCGGCCACGCGCTCACAAGCCAAGTTGGCGTGTGTCCATGGGCGGCGCTATGTAACATCCTAAAAACGGTTGAGCTTCCAGCTCCCTTAATAAATAATAAATATACCTGTCGAATTTTACCATCTCAAACTCATAATTGCTTCATCTTGTTATTATACTTTTTCTTTGCAGCTTCCACGCAGATGTCAAATTCGGAACTCATCACATTGTTCCTCATCATCATCACCATTAAGTGCTTTGGAATTATGTAATTCAATACCTCATGTTATGTTAACTTGTATATAATATTTGTGTGTTTTTGAAATAATAAATTGTTGATTTTATTAATTTCTTTTTATTCCGGTTAAAACCCATAATTTATAAAAAAATTGTTTAACTACTTACTCTTTTGTCACTTAACATCACATCGTAAACAAATATGTCAGAAAGAAAGGCTACTTTCGTCAAAAGAGTGCAGTTAAACTGATTTAAGCTAAGTTTTAGGCGATTAAAATACTATTCACTGTTTTAGTTAGTACCGAATTCCAGCCTTCGCCCTCTAACTTCAACTAATAAATTTCTATAAAAATTGCACACCTACTAATCATAATATTTTGTAAAAAACATAATCGTTGAATAAAGGAGGACGATGGAAATGTTGCCATGCGATACCTTCTTCTTAATCTCCTCATTTCTGACGCTCAAACCTCTAACCTCATCCCAACCTTTTTGAGGAAAATTCCTCAGTTTTTTTTCGGCTACCAATAACTTCTCTTGATTTGATCATCCCATACATGATAATTTAAATAAAATTAAGAATTCAACTGATCATTTGAATGTTCAATGAATTTGGCAACTATCAATATTTATTATTGTTTAATTTTGACTGTCTCCTTAGCCTATTTTGACAATGGTCTATCCGTCGTAATTCGCAATGTATTTCTTATATCAATAATTGTGTTTGGCGTTCCACAATATAGATAAATAGATAAATGTCCATTTAATTAAGTGCCACATTTATAATTCTAATTACCCGCCTAGATCAAAAGTGTTCAGCGCTTGAAATTTGACAAAGTAATAAACTTTTCGTATTTCATACGAAAAGTTTATGAAAAGATGTGACGCAAAGCTGGCTTATTTTGAATAATTTCACTTTTATCTTTCTCTTATTTTGAATGTAAAGTTCAAGTAGTCTTCGTTTTATAAATAGCTAGATATTGCTGACCCGTACGATGCCCGTAACATGATGATAGACAGGGTTAGCGGCATATTACATATAAAGTGTGGTAAATAAAGGTCGCATTTCCCAAACGGACCTAGTTTTTCCGCAATGTGAATTCACATTCTTTCATATTTCCAACACTTTCCATACTCAGCTAAATCCTTATGTCGAGGGTACGTGGTGCACTAGGCAACAAGATGGTAGTGTAGCGGTCTGGTCTCGGATTACCTATGAATTAGGGAAAAAGGTAAACATATTGCAATATCTATAAAAGTTTAAATAGTTTCAAATTCGAATACTTTGCGCTCTCAGAAAATTTCTTAGCTTGATGCTAAAGGTTCACTGGGCCGCACGCAGCCCGCGCATTTTGTGGTTTAAGGGTTTGATGTCTGTTTGAAATACATAATTTTAATTTAGTGAAATTTGATGAGGGTGATCCAAAATATTTTTACTCGGCCGATCATCACATTTTTTTGTTAGTCACTGCTTAGTTTTCCACGGGTTATGTTAGACGCATTGTTATTTTGATATATACTTTTTTGTTAATTATATTTGTTAATAGTTACGTCCTCATTTTATAGTATTATAGTAAATGTATTGTGCGTTTTTGCGAACTATTGTGAGGTGAACTGACAATAATTGTGTGCCTTTCTACTTGGTAAGGATAAATCGTAACGAGGTATGTATTCAGGACTGAAATTTGATTGAAAAGCAATACTTGCACCATAGAAAATTTATAGAAATTTCTTGGACGTACGAGACCCTCGCCAAATGAAATGACGGAATGACTTTTATTTTTATGGCAGCCATCTTTCTCTCGTCTTTTATAATATTTCCACTACCCCCGTCAATTTCTCAGAAAACACACTTAACGTATTCCTTTCTGTTGGCGTTTCTAGAAAAGCAAGTAGAAAATTCGAGATCTTATAATAATTAATAAATAATTAAACTGCTTTAAAGTATTCGAAAGCTATAAATGATAATTACAGCAATCGGGTTTATATCTTTTGAAGAAGTTTATTTTGTTTTGTTATGGTTTTAATCGCAGACATAAAAATAATAATATACGACAAACATATTTTAAAGAAATTTTATTCATTTTCCTTTGCTAACAATTTATAAACGTATAAAAACAGATAAAGATTTGTACCAAAATTAATAATGATGATGATGGGGGACAATGTGATGGGTTCCGAATTTCACGTCGGCGTGGAACCTGCAATTATAGTTGTTAAATTATATTTAAGTATCATAAACGAAGAGTCAATCACAACAAGAGTTTTATCATACACACAATTTGACAGAAAGTGAAGACCTTATTTACAAAAAGAATATTTATTTACACCAAGAAGAACGTGTATGTATACCAAGTTAATTCTTACCCGGTGTGGTGGTCTCCGTGGTAGTGGACAGTCCTTTGGGAACCGTCAGGTTGATGCAGAGAGTAGACGCCCTTCACCACGTCTCCATCACGGTGCTCGTGCTGCGACTTAATGTCTCCTGTGTGATGGTCTTCTACTTTGTAGTCGAACTCGTATTTGGGATGAGTCTGTGAAATGTAACCCTATAATAACTGAGAACTGGGAGAAGAAATATAAAAGGCATGATAGTTACATGGTAGTCGTGGTGTCCGTGATGGCCGTGGACGACTTCAGGGTGTCCATCGTGCTTAACGAAGTGCTGGGAGGAGTACCCATGGCCGTGGCCATATTGAGCAGCGACCACAGCAAGGAGGGTCGTAAAGCAGAGGATCTGTAAAGAAAACCTCGTAAAGCAATTGCAATTAGGAGCAAAATTTTCTCATGTGTAGTTTTTTAGTTTTGGAACTCTTAAAAAAATTTTTTTAAATGAAATCTTATCCGAACCGAATCCACAAACTAAACATTTTTAAATTTACCTTTGAGTACATTTTTATTATTTTACTATTTGTCTCAGATAAAATTCAAACTGATACATAATGTATTATTTCCATGTCTTATATATCGATAGACAATGCAATTCATCAAGGTAAAATTGATTTCACTCTTGATACTTGGGCACAAAACCGCAACGTGTGTAGAAACTTTAATATAGAGCTTGCAAAATCTTATCAAAGTTAATTGCTTTTGTATCTATTTTTAATATTATGACAAGAATGTATATTGATTAAAACATTTTTACATTTTCTTAAAACAAAAGTTTCTTTTTAGTTTTAGTGAAAATTTGCGTTTTGTTTTCTGCTTTTATGTATCTCTATTATCTGAAAATAAAAAAATGGACCATATAAGTTATGGAATCGTGCCCTATTAAAAAGGTGGCAGGAGCGACATTGATGAGGAAAGCAAGAGATAGAACTTTGTGGAGAAGACGATTCAGAAACCGGTGTCTAATAGGAAATAATATGATAATATTTCCATTTACTTTAACTAAATTTCATAAATAACTAAGTAGAAATAAGATTAAATGTTACTCACCTATACACTAAACATTTTTAAACTGATTTCATGTAAGATAGCAGTCCTGTTGCACGTCGTCTTATGGCTGTAATGAGCGTAATCCATTGCCATCACTCTGATCTGCAAGTTCCGATAGCAGAACTAAGTTCGTACTACTCTGATTTATTTAAATATAAGTAGTGGTAACTCAAATATGGCAAAGATGGCGCGAACGCCATCGTAACGACCCAGGCATAATGAAATTGACTATAGAGCAAGTAGCTTAAACTCAATTTATAACCCTATTCTTAGAAGATTCCTGAAATTTGTACCACTCGACTACACTTTAAAAAATTCAAGCCTCCTGAAAACGAGGGTAACATTATGCAAATTACAATTTTCTAATATGTGTTTGACCCTCTCTTGAAACGGTAAGAAATAAAATTTCAGCTTGCTGAAAACGTCTCTAACTAATTGATATTTCGGGAAATATTGCAGTCAGCCCATCTTCGTAACACTATGTTTTCATTATATATATTTAACTCATATTAAAAGTGTATGTGACGAAAATTTTCGTCATGAGTATGAACGGCAATTATGTTGGTGAAATCGATATTGTCTTGCATTGCTCTCCTTGAATATTAGATATAAAAGATTGATTTTTATTGTTGTAGATCATTCTAAACAACTATTTCAGTTAGTCTACTATAACAGCCAAACTCACAATGTTTTTAAAGGTATTTTAATTATACTTAAATTATAAAAATTTAAAAAGCGGTTTAAAATTGAAATCTTTTTAAGAAAGATCTCTAGGTATCTTGACATACCTAATATGTTTTTATTTTATTTGTTGAAGCCATATTTAAAAACAAAGTTTTGGTACTTCATACTTGAAGTTCAACTTATATACTTTTCATAACAAAGCCAGTACAAATACAACTGAAAAAGTGATTTGAAGATGATTTTATTTTTGCAGGCACTCTGTTTCGTCTCCATATTCGCAGTAGCGTTGGCCCAATATGGCCACGGGTACGGCCATGGTTACTCCTCCCAGCACTTTGTGAAGCATGATGGGCACCCCGAAGTCGTCCACGGTCATCACGGGCATCATGACTATCATGTAATTATAATACCATTTCTATACCGTTTTGCATGAAGCCTCAGTTACTGAGTATATGTTGTTACAGACTCATCCAAAATACGAGTTCGACTACAAAGTAGAAGACCATCACACGGGAGACATGAAGTCTCAACATGAGCACCGTGATGGAGACGTGGTAAAGGGCGTCTACTCTCTACACCAGCCTGATGGTTCCGAAAGGACTGTCCACTACCACGGAGACCACCACACCGGGTGAGACTTTTTAAACAAACAATGGTTTTATTTTAATGTTTTAAAACTTCTGAAGCTTTCGCTTAAGACTTTATTTTTAAGAAAGTACTTATGGATATAATTCAACATTACAAAAAGAAAAAAACGAAATTGCAACGAGGTCACATGCCTTTTGACCGTTGCTCAATTGTTATAAACTTACCCATGGTTTAACTATGTTCCTTAACTTGACTTCACTTCTCGTAGAAATAGTAAAGGCATCGAAAGCTTATCGTGCTCTTATTGGACTACGGAAGAGGGAAACATCCCTCACTGAGGCGCTATTTCACTACGAAGTTTTACTTTCCACAAACTAAATAATTATCATAAATTAGTTTGCAACTAAATTTTATTTAGAAGGGCCAAATAACCTTTTCTTACAAATTGTCATGACTTACGTAAAATAAATAATGTTATAAAACAATTATAATTATAAACTATATAATATTTTCAGTTTCCACGCTGATGTGAAATTCGGTACCCATCACATCGTCCCTCATTATCATCAACATTACTGAGAAAGGAGTCGCTGTTTATATGATTTTTGTTACTTTTTTATATACCCATGTGTTCAAATAAAATGAAATGAATTTAATATTTATGTTTTTATTAAACCAATAAACTTTGAAATGAATGAACGCTTAGAATACTACAAACGTTTATTTAAGAAAAATAGCCATTGCAAAAATTCTTGTAAATTAATTGAAGAATTCTCTTATATTTAATCTATTACTATCCAATTAAAAATGTTATGATATTCTACAAAATAATAGAGATTTAGACATACACGACTTAGTAGTTGTAGGCAAAAACAGTTTTTTTTTTTTGTAGAGTAATAGAGTTTTTGATAAGAGACCAATATTTCTCAGAAACAGAAAACCAGTAACCAGCTGTAGTATATGGGGTATTTTGTTAAATGTGGCTACTGTGCCATACCACAATGCCGTAAGTATTTATTGACATTTAACGCAAAAGCACCGTGCAGTATAATATTACAATAGTGTGTCTACCGAGAAGAAATCTAGATATTCGCTTCTATGCTAAATGTAGCATGACAAATTGTGGTCATTATAGGCTTTTGTTTAAATTAAACATCACATAATACTTTACGTTGAGCTGCGTAACTTAAAATCGATTGGGTGTCAACCGAAACCAGTTTAAAAACTTTCATTATTACAGCTGTATTGAAACAAAAAGTATATAAGCTGTAATTATAATCAAGTAAGTACCATTAACATATTACATTGCAAACAGTAAACTTACGAATCAAAGATGTACTTCAAGGTATGTTAATTTTTATTATCTTAACTTCGATGGAATTTTGTGAGGAAATATTTATTTTGTTTAATTATTAAGCATTAAAAAGAAAACAGGTTGTGGCTAAAAAAATCTCCAGGCAGAAATTTGTGTGTACTGTACAGTAAACACCTGGTTTATAGAACAATAAATTTTGAAATAACTATTCCATTTGGCATTAGAATCCGACGTAACATCATTGCTATAGCAATCAATATGTATAAATATTTTTGAAATATTTTAGTTTTATTTTAACTCTTATTTCAGGTCCTAGTAATTGCTGCCACCATCGCTGTTGCCGCCGGGCAATATGGATACAACAATGGCTATGGTCAGGCTTCCCACAATCTTGTTCAGCATCAACCACACTACGCTGCTGCTGTTCAACAAGATTACCATGTAAGTTATATTTAATTACAATGTTCCTGTAGTATTCCAGGTGTGGGCAGGAAAATTTACATAAAAATCTTAATAGAAAATAGAAATATAGTTTTGCTTTGGACACTAATTAAACATGTTTAAGTTGTTTGGACGAATAGCTTTTTGTAGTAAGACTGCCCATTTGCATCCCTTGTCTTCTTTTATTTTTACCTGTTCTAAAATTCTTGGTGATGTAAATAAAGTTTTTATTATTACAATTACAACTGACCAGGTATATTGAGCCTCTGAAGTTTGTTACTAATAAAATTGCGCCTTAATGAATAAAAAGGCAAGGTGTGTAAAATACATAATAACATTATTAGTTGAAATGTAACTTTTATTTGAATTTTTATTGTCTCCTTTCTGGATTTAATCAGTGATAATTTATATACGTCAATTATCTATATTAATATTATTAAGATTTATTTTTTTGTTAGAAGGGGCTTATCTCAGGTATTACTGGTTTGGATTGAAAAAAATTGTTGGACAGGTCAATTAATGAGAAAGGCCTAAGACTGTATAACATCACACTACGTACAAATTAACGCGGGAAAATACAGCAAGTTTGAAAATATATAAAATAATGATTGAAATTTTTATTACATATATATATATAAATATTTTTATTATGATTTACAGGCACCAGCTCATTACTCTTTCAACTACGGCGTTCAGGACCCTCACACCGGTGACTTCAAGTCCCAACACGAGTCTCGGGAAGGAGATGTAGTTCGTGGTGAATACAGCCTTCACGAAGCCGATGGCACCGTCAGACGTGTAGAATACAGCGCAGACCCACACAGCGGGTAAGTTTCTATCGTCAGTATTTTGATCAGGAAATCTAAGATAATAATATAATTATTATTAGTATTTTTTATCCTTTATTCGTTAAGGCAGAACAGGTGGTCTACCATGAACTTTCATGGCAAGGCAATAGACGAACTGAATTAAATGGATCAGGTAAGGCTTCATATGACCTAGTTCACTGTAGACTTCCTGAGGGTAGGACACAAAAAACGGGACAAAGAAGTTTTCCTTCATCTATTTTAAAGAATATATAAAACAGCTAGAATGACTGAATATTCTTGCTTGTAAATAAAATATGTTTAAAAGTACAAAACACACGTTCATATTATGGCAAATGTATAGATATATGTTTCAAAATATGTATGAAAATATAATTTTTGATCTTTCAGATTCAACGCCGTCGTGCATCGTGAAGGACAATCCTCCCACCAGGCCCCCAACTACCACTAAGCAGCAATCTAGTCAAACTGTTATATATATAGGATAAGCTCATTAAATTTTTTATAAAATAATATATTTTTAATTATTTATCCTTCTAAGTGGGAATATTGCAGATTATAATTTTAGTACGAACATATTTCTTTAGAAATAGTTAATTACGGATAGTTACTTACTTATACTTGACTTCACTTAAAAAGCGTATTGCAATAATCCAGCAAATAGTAGGAACAAAATTACGACAACGCACCCAGTGTCTATGGGCGGCCTATTACTTAATATCAGGAGGGCCGATTGCCCCCTATTTTATAAAACATCTAATACAATTTTTTTTAACTTAATAACTATTAATTAACTTAATTAAATTTAGGACTTAGATAAATAAAATAAATCTGTGACGCTACAACCTCTTTAAGTCTTGGCCTCAGATTTCGAGGGCCTGACACACGCCGTCGACTTTTTGGGTCTAAGACAAGTCGGTTTACTCACGATGTTTTCCTTCACCGTTCGTTGTGATGTGTTTAATGTTAAATGCGCATATAGAAATAAACTCCATTGGTGCACAGCCGAGGGTCGAACCTACGACCTCAGGTATGATACTCGCACGCTGAAGCCACTAGGCCAACACTGCTCATGGACTGCTCAGGACTTTGATAATACGGAATTATTATTATGCATAGGAATTCTTGTCGCGACTTATTATCTGAACATTATGTATCTCTATAACATTAACCAAAATCACATTCGTGAATATGTGATATATAATAATGTTATACATATTATTTATAAAAGCAAAAGTTATATATTTGCTCATTTAATAAAAGTTATACTTAATTATTAATTTGAAAATTGTGTGCAAATCTTGACTTTCTTCCTGTGCGTCCAACTATTGTGTCAACACCGTGAAGAAATTGTCTCAGACCCAAATATCTTCTGTGCTTGACATCAGTCCTAGAAGACTTGCCTATAAAAATCAGTAAAATGGATATCAACTTGCCAAGACCCGTTATCTCTTGTTATTATTTATTCTTATATTAACAATAAATATAGTTTACGTATCTTTTTCCTTTTTAACCAACATAATATTAGCGCACGAAATTATAACTGTATATAATTATATATTCATTACGAACCAAATAACGTATGTTATGATCATTATCACATCCTATAAGGCTTAATCACTTACTCTTACGTGGTTAAACAGTAATTATCAATAATTGAGAGAAATCCTACATTTCGGTGTTCACCTTGTTGCCAACAGTATAAAATTGAAAAATAATCCTTAATGAATTCAGTTTAATATTTTACCTAGGACGTTAGAATCTAGTGAAAAATGTTCTCAAAGGTGACATTTTTTTTTAAGTTTTAATAGTTTAGTGTTCATATATCGTTGATTAAATTACATTTTAATTTCTCCTATTAATGCCCTTAGGCAATCTTCAAGTAAAAATTAATGAAGGATAACTGTCAGTTAAAATAAAAAGTAAAGTGTACTCTCTCAAAGGCCGGCAACGCATCTACTAAAAATGGGTGTCCGTTTGCCCCTCTATTATAAAAATAAGTGTTTATTTCATGATGGGTAGATAAGACTACTTTCGTTACCGAAAGTAACTTTTACTCACCGATTGTATCACCCTTATTGGAGAGTAATTAATACTTTACTTGAAGATCGTCAGACGCTTTGGATTTCATTAAAATCTGTGTTTTTACTAAAGGTTAAGTTGAACACGTATGAAACATCTTTTAATGAGGATTGTCAATTATAAAATCTAGGTTAATTTGTTCAATCAACACTCGACCTTTGAAGGGAAATAACGTATTCTGCAACCGTTTTAATTAACCCTTTGTTATTTTAAATGATTCTCATAATCGGCATCATGCACTTGGACTCTTAAGTTTTGACATGTTTTTAAAACAATTTGACCGTGTATAAGCTGAAGTATTACACGTTTGGATTGCATTACTAGGAACACAGAATTTAAAACAGTGTTATATGTAAAAACATATAGAACATGCCTTTTATATTGTATATATTTGTAAGTATTGTATTGTGAAGTTGCGGATCTCAGCTAGTATACATGATGTGATCTTGTGTGTACAAAGTATATTTATTATGAATAAAAAAATTGCCGCCATCACGCAAAGGCGTACACGCAATAGATGTTTAATTTAATACACGGGCATTCATTATTCGATCGTTCAATACAATACTTGTATTATAACAAGGCATTTGTTTGATTTCTAGGTGCTTTGTTTTGTGTCTGTCATCGCGGCTGTGTTTGGTAATTACATACCAAGCCATGGAGCCGAATCCGAAGCTCGCTTGATCAAGTACGATGGTCATCCAGAAGTAGTTCCCGTTGGTGGATACCATGGACACGGACACCAGATTGACTATCATGTATGTAATACTTTTATTTTTCGCTGGTCATCATGGTTTCAGCCTGATCTCCACGCTTTCCCTCCACCCTTACCATATCACCTGTCCACCTAGTGGGATGCCGCCCTACGCCAACTGGTCCCCAATCCAGGCCTTTTTAGAACCATCAGCATTCGGTTCTTCGTAATGTATGATGGTGATTTTATCGCAAGCGCTCAATTACAATTCTGTGAAATTAAAATATTAATATTTTCGGTTAATGCAATATTATAAGTTATAACATATGACTCAGAAGACTCTGAAGGTCGTACGTACACTGCGTGATCAATTGGCGTTTCTAATACAGATAAATGTATTTATGTACTCCGAATTCTGACTATGTTCATGTATTAAAATGTTTTAATTGTTTAAAAGTTTGCGACATAGTCTAATGTGTGAAATATATATTCTGGAAATGCAGAATATAGTTTTTGCCCGAAGATTTTTCGAAATATCAAGTTTTCTAAGAACGTCTTTCAATATTTTACGCGATACACCTGTGGGCGTGTCATAGACATTCATTGATGAGATTTCTTAACAAACCAGTTATTTTAATTGTGGAGTTATTTCTTATAAATTAAAGATTATACACGATTTAACCCGATCACTGATTGCACCAGCAGTGAGCTTAAGAAGAACAGTGTTGACCTAGTGGTATTTAGCGTGCGACTCTCATCCCTGAGGTCGTAGGTTCGATCCCAAGCTGTGCACCAACTGGACTTTCTTTCTATGTGCGCATTTAACACTCGCTCGTACGGTGAAGGAAAACATACACAAGAAGTCGACGGCGTGTGTCAGGCACAGAAGGTTGATCACCTAATTCCCTATTAGACAAAACAAATGATCACGAAAAAGATACAGAAATCAGAGGCCCAGAATTAATTGTATAATTACCAACATATTTTTCAGACGCATCCTAAGTACGAGTTCGATTACAAAGTAGTAGACCACCACACTGGTGACATTAAGTCCCAACAGGAGCACAGAGACGGTGACGTGGTAAGAGGTGCATACGCTCTCCACCAACCCAACGGACTGGAGAGGATTGTTAATTACTACAGTGACGATCATTCTGGGTAAATTTTAATTTATTTTTCATAATCGACAGCATTTACAATACCTATTTTATGAGTTTGAGCCAAAAAGGGTAATTAATTTTAGAAGTTATGCTTCTTTTGGCGCGTTAGGGAAAAATGATGAGAGTAATTTTTACGATACACGCACACCATCACAAAAAACCGACACCCGCACTTGCTCTGTTTTATCGACAACTTGCATTGTCTGTCATGGCGTAGTGTTTTTCAAAGTCGTGTTTATTTAAACCAAAATAATGATTTCTATACGAGAGATATATTATATCGTTTATTGGAAGTGACCATTACCACTTAAAATGTATTCCTTTTTTTATTTTAGTATTTTTTTGTTATTTTTCTTTTTTGATTATTATTATTATGTTGTGTGTTTCTGTGTGGGTGTTTTGTTAGTAATAAATGTAATGTCCGTCTGTCAATTGAAGTTGTAATAAATAAACATTTGTTTTCAGATTCCACGCAGATGTAAAATATGGCACGCACCATGTCGTCCCTCACCACGCTCCCCATGGTCACTATTTATAAGATTATATTTAATTTAATATAACGTGACAATCATCAACATACAAATAAATGTTTGTAACTCCTGACTTTTGTAATTAAATTTAAATTAAATTATTAAATTATAAATGTGTATATGTTTGAGGTGTACAAGCTAAAAATATTTAATATAAAAATAAAATATTTTCTGGAAAAATGAAAATAGTTGTATATTTGTCCCAAATCCACTTAATATTGCAGTGCAGTGTTCATTAATCATACAATCCATTATTAAAATAAATCAGTGGTGCTACAACCTCTTTAGGGCTTGGCCTCAGATTTCTGAATCTGTTTCATGAACATTTTCAAATCTAATAGGCAAGTAGGTGATCAGCCTCCAGTGCCTGACACACGCCGTCGACTTATTGGGTCTAAGACATGTCGGTTTCCTCACGATGTTTTCCTTCACAAAAATGCAAATGTTAAATGCGCACATAGAAAGAAAGTCCATTGGTGCAAAGCCGGGGTCAAACCTACGACCTCAGGTATGAGAGTCGCACGCTGAAGCCACTAGGCAAACACTGCTTAAATCCATTATTACTTTTCTTAAAAGACAATAAAGATTTGATTTATATAAGAAATTATTCCACCCCGACAAAGTGCCGGTCACAATCCGTATCAGAGCGATAATGAAATACAAATATGGGTACCGCCGCTAAACGTTTTTTTGCAACACAATTGCATATTTCAAACTTATTCAAAGCAATTAATTATTTTTATAGGCAGTTATCTCGAGTGAAACTAATATTATTGCGGTTAGGGCTCCCACACAAAACTGCGAATTCGCATCGCATCGCAAATATCTCGAATTCGCACGAACGCACCGCAAGAAGTTCCGATCTGCTTCGCATCGCACATTCTTGCGATATTACGTCATCCTTGGTGACACCATTTTAGTCCGCTCTGAGACATCTTTAGAGAAAGACGCGCGGCCTTCTTTGTTTATAAAAAATTGCGGAATATGATATGGATTTTTTAATATTTTTAATTGAGGAGCGTGCCGTCCTTTGGGACACAAGAGATGAACATTATAAAAATAAATTTATTAAGCAAGATGCATGGAAGAGCGTCTGTGAAAGTTTGCATCAGAGTTCATAATCGTAATAAATGGATGAACCCAGAATCTTCTTTTTCTTTTATATCTATTTAACAATAACAGCAGTGCAACTATCTGCGATCCATCTTACCTCCTAAAACCTCGCTACTAGAGGAATGGTCGCCCTACCAAACGGTGTCGCACTAAATCTATCGCAATTCGCTCCATTCCTGCGATGCGAATTCGCATCACATCGCATCGCAGTTTTGTGTGGGAGTCCTTAGTCACCGAATTTAGCGACATTAAACACAATGTGTTCCAGAGTAAGTACATATATGTATTATGAAATTATTTTAGTTTTTTAAATTTCTTTTTGTAGCGTTTATCTCCATAAAGTCAAAGTCAAAATCATTATAATTCATATAGGTAACGCAATGTATACTTATGAACGTCAAAAAAATATATATGTAATCTAAAAGTTGGAAGTAATACGCCTGTGAATCACTAAGCACTAAAAAAAAAGAGTGGCGGAGAGTTTATTGCCAGTTCTTCTCTTCCGTTCTCCGCCCTTGATTTGAGAACAGTAAATGTAAAATTAGAAGCGTTTAATGTATATTTCTTTATTGACGTTCATAAGTGTACATTGTGTTACCTAAATGAATAAATGATTTTGAATTTGAATTTGAAAATAGAACGGTATAGATTTAACTTTCAATGTTACATAAATGTTTTTAAGGTTCTATGCATTGCGTCTCTCATGGTTGTATTATTCCAATACGCCCAATGCCATGGACCTGCCTTTTCTTCTCAGCATTTCCTGAAGCACGACGGTCATCCTGAAATAGTACATGTTCATGGTCATCACGGTCACGGTCACGTCGATTACCATGTAAGTTTGATTATTTAAACTCTGAGTAACAATTTGGTTAATAACGTAAAAAATACTTACCAAGAAATAAACTACTCGTATTACCGTGTAGCAAAGTGTCGCTATTTTTTGCTGGAGTTTGTGCACAGAGTAAAGGTAGGGCAACCGGGGCTATAGCTCCGGGGCCTCCACAAAAGAAGGGCCCCACAATTGAGACTTCGGAAAAAATGTTTTAAATTCCGACTAGTAAACACTAGTAAACAACTTTTCTTTTGATAATAATTTGTTTCGCGGTTTTACCTTTACCTTTGTACAAACATATATTTATATTTCTATATTAAATTCTAACATAATCTACTTGGTTTCACAATAAATTATTGATTTAAAAACTCGACTGAAAAAAATTGTTCATGTTATTTGGAAAATAATTTTGCCAATAAACCAATTTAGCCTCTACGCCTTTGTCGCCTCGAGGCCTCCAGATCTTTAAATCCGGCCCTGATTACGCTCATATTAGATTCTCATTTCATTCAAAGTAAAAATGGAAGGTATTCGAGTAAATTATTATCGCCTCGTGGTTACATCAAACGTTTTTTTGTTAATATTTTATAGTTTACTAACCGACCCGGCAAACGTCATTTTGCCATTATTTCTAGGAAACATTTTTTAGTTCAATAAAAATAACTATCTACAATAATAAAAAATAGGGGTTGATCGTAGAGGGGTGAAAATTAGGGGTTGTATGTATTTTTGTATGATGTATCATAAAATGTATACAAAACAATGTTTACAAAATAAAATTAAATTTTTGGGGGTGGACATCCCTTATTACTTAGGGGTTTGAAAGATAGATAGTAGCCGATTCTCAGATTTAGTAAATATGCATAAAAAATTTCATAAGAATTTTATATATTAGACTAGCCGACTCGGCCAAGCGTTGCTGTGGCTAAGGTTTTTGTTATATTACATAGTAGTAAACTATTCAAGGGAAACGGTAGAAGAACAACAGTCATGGAGACCTCCATGCTTTTTTGGTGGTAATGCCATTAAATTGTAGCTTATGTGAAACGTTGGTACTTTCAACACAGCGCCATCTGTTAGAATTTTGACTGTCAAATAGTAAATAAATAATTTGCAATAAAATAATATTGCGGGTATAAATTAAGATGTAAGCTATCCTATCTTTTTAGTTAGATCAAACTGCACACGGTGTGCAAATTTGATTGGAATCGGTTAAGTAGTTTAGGAGTCCATAGCGGACAAACAACGTGACAAGTAATTTATATATATTAAGATATACAATGTATTTTCTATTCAAAGACTCATCCCAAGTATGAATTCGGTTACAAAGTGGGTAAGAATTCTTAAATTGAAATTAAATATTTTACAATGTGATATCTTCTTACAAAGTGTACCACAAGTACTGGTTCGCAGGGATATTTAGTAGCTACATACCAACATATGGTATATTTTGCTATGCTACCCCAAAGAAACTGTTTGCGTTCACAATTACAGCAAAAAAAACTTGTTTTTAGGTCTATCCGTGCAATTTTCCAGTTTTTTTTCTCTATAAAAACCTTTCTCAGGTCAGCCGTCTTAGAAATAATTTCTCAATCTTTTCATATGAAATAAATGTTAAATTGTGTACATTATTACAAAGATTTGTCCACAGATGGCACCACATGCTGTTTGCATTCGTAAAATTAATTAATTTATTTATTGTTATTCGATAACTTATCCAATACTTTATTACTTATTCTGCTATTTGGAGCGGAGAAGAATCCACCAAAAAAGAGATAACTAACATCGGTCCAGCCGATCTTGAGTTATAAGTGTTGTAACTGACACGACTTTGTTTTATATATTTAGATAAGAATAGTCAGCAAGTCACTCTGTCTTTATTACTCATATTTATCCCAAACCGAATATGGTTTTGCTGGATATCGATTACAGTCATACTTTATTCGTTCGGCACTGAGTCCTAATTTGAGTAAGCAGTCTCAAATTCACTCTAACATTCTTTTATATTAAATAGATAGTTATACTCACATTGACTGATTGCAGATTCCACGCGGACGTTAAATTTGGGACCCATCACATCATTCCTCATCATCACCACTAACACTCGTGAGTATTATTTAAACTAGGTTTAACCGTTTTTATATATTGGTATTAAAGAGGAAAATAAAAAACAAGAAAGTATTTTTATTTTTATTTTATACCCGCACATTCTCAGATGTATCCTAACATCGAATCGAAGTTAAAAAATTAATGTAAACATAACTATTTAATCAGTTAGTTAGTTCTCATGTCAATCACTAGATGGCAGTAGTTGCATTTGGAACGCGATATTTTTTTACTTAGATTGTGCATAGTGGTGTCTGTTCCTTTAATCAAAAGATCGTGCTCACTCCAGTGAGCCTCCGTTCTGCACTTCAGGCGATAGACCACCCCGCAACTGCTAAAGCCAAGGTCCTCGAGTCTCACTGATCACTCTCTAGTCTCTAGTTCTCGCAGGAGACGCCCTACCCTGAATAATCAAAAGAGTTTTTATGGATTATCGAAGTTTATTATTATCTTTACTCGCGGACTCCCAAGAAAGCTTGGAAGTAAATTTTCAATAACATTTTAATAGTATTACAACCATTAATGGATCCTACCCACAACAGCTCTGCGTTTCGCATACAATACATACAGTACACATTTTAGTTCCTGTTTTGTTTGCTACTATATCTGTACCTGCAGTAATAAAATTAGACAATCAATCATTCAAATACATGCAATGTGTTTTGTATGTATACAATTTTAACGAAAATCCTTGAATGTTTAATCGGTGGTATTCCTGATCAAATTATGTCTGAATCACCTGTCTCCCAAAAGACATTGCGGTCAGTAAGACGGCTAAAAATAAATTACCTCAAACGTAAAAGTTTTCAAGGCTCTCTTCTCTTCAAGGTTTTTAATGGATGACTGAAAATTTAAGTACAAATATAATCTCAAAAAGACAGTTATTGATGTTTGAATGGGTCTTATAGGCGACCTACGCTTCTTTCACATAATTAATGAATATAAACGAAAATAGTCTTATTAAACATAATTGCACTTCCATGTTCCTGGAACAACTATGCAAAAAACTCAGTTTTGTATCGCACAACGACTACTATTTAAGCCTTGACTTGTTTAAGCTATCGCGGAATATACTTAATGGAGTTTTAAGAACATCTGTAGCGCTAAATCACTTGCATCTTGAGCACATACATACCCTCAAGTACATCACACAATACAGCCGATTTAAACTTGAAAAAATGTTACTTAGTTAAATGTATTTGATAATTTTTATTGATTTCTTTTTCGTAAATGTTTGAACCTTTTTGTATATATTATGTATTCCATTTTTGGCTATATGTCTAGTATAATAGTTTTTTGTTTTATATAATTTATGTTAGCTGTAGGATTACGATATAAATTTATTATTATTAAATGTTTGTTTTGCTATTCGAATCTCGAGGAAAAGAAATGCATAAATGTTTCTAATGTATCATTTAATAATAACTATTATTAAAATACTTGCTTCTATAATTTAAATTTAGAAAAAGAACAATATGTCTACTCTATTTGGGGGACCCAAGACCCAGACGAGACTTGTACAGTTTTATTTTTAGTGAAAGTAACTAGCGAAAAGTAAGTGCAAAACCACAAGGACGACAAGCCAATTCGTGTAGGTAAATCTCAAAATTGAGTAGCTATAAAAACCAGGTTTGAAACTTGAAAATTATCAGTGTATCGTTTAAAATCGTTCAATCAATATGTACTCCAAAGTTAGTATTTATTATATGCTAATAAATAAGAGAAAAAGGATTTAAAAATATAAATAAATATATAATTATTTTCCAGATTATCGCCTTGAGCGCCGTATTGGCGGTATCGAGTGCTGGTCTCCTGGCTGCTCCCGCAGTTCACTACTCTCCAGCTTCCGCGGTCTCCTCACAAAGCATCGTGCGTCATGAGCAGCCAATCGCCGTAGCCGCTCCCGTCGCATACCAATCTGCTCCACTTGCATACGCCTCTCCCGCTCGGTACTCGTCCGCCGCCGCTGTCTCCTCCCAGAACATCGTCCGCCACCAACAGCCGATCGCCGTAGCTGCTCCTATTGCGTACAACACCGCCTCTTATGCCTCACCTCTCTCTTACGCTGCTCCCGCTCGTTACTCATCCGCAGTTTCCTCCCAGAACATCGTCCGCCACCAACAACCGATCACCGTAGCTGCTCCTATTGCGTACAACACCGCCTCTTATGCCTCACCTCTCTCTTACGCTGCTCCCGCTCGTTACTCATCTGCCATCTCCTCCCAGAACATCGTTAGTCACGGACAGGCTATTGCTCCCGCCCGTCTGGCTTACCAAGCTACCCGTGCTGTGGTCTCTCCAGTTGTCCACGCTGCACCTCTTGTCCACACTGCTCCAGCCCACACCATCATCGCCCAACACGAGGAATACGACGCACACCCCAGTTACGACTTTGCCTACTCCGTAGCCGACGGCCACACCGGTGACAACAAGTCCCAGCACGAGAGCCGCGACGGAGATGTTGTACGTGGTGAATACTCCCTGGTTGAAGCTGACGGCTCAATCCGCCGCGTAGAGTACTCCGCTGATGACCACCATGGCTTCAACGCCGTCGTCAGCAACTCTGCACCCGCTCACGCCGCCGCCGCATACGCCCCAGCTGCTGTTCTCGCCCACCATTAATGAGACCTACTATAGAGTAGAATAGGATCGTTTATAAGAGTACTATTTATAACGAATAAAAGCACTAAATTCAACTTTGTTATATTTTTATTATAGTTCAAGTAATACTTATCATGTAGGTAAGTAGGATTGTTTCTAATGTTCATACCCACATCTCATATTATCATAACAATTCCACTTAATTATGAAAAATACTACTATACTATACGAAATAATACTTAGAGAAAGCACTAACAAATAAAACGAACTAGGCGAAGAAACGATAGTTTTAATGGAATAGAGAAATCAAATGTTCGAAAAATGAAAAACAAACAGTAATCAGTAGCAAACCTAAAAAACTGACTAACTAAACTACTAAAACTAATACAAAAGCTTTGAAACAACTTCAAGACTATGGATGCCAAATATAAAAGTAAAATCAAGTAAGCAAGAAAATTCTGCAGCATGCTATATGTATATGGAAACGGATAAAACAACACTCACAGAAACTTAATAAATAACTACAAACCATAGATAGCCAATGTTGACAAAGTTTTTTCAAGAATAATAGTTGACCGATTATCAAAATAGTTAAATGAAAACCAACTCTGAGTGCCGACCATCGATCATATTCGTCGTAAAATAAAAGCTAAACAATAATGGTTATCATTAGATACTATATGCCATTCGTAGACAATAATAAGGCATTCGGTTCTATAAGACATTTGTTGCTACTTCTGGAAGACGCAAAAAAATCAAAAAGCTGATAGTAAATATATAGGAATCATAAAAGAAATAAACAAAAACTCAGCAGCGACAAGCCGACTGGTTGGCCAAAAACATGGAGAGGTATTTTATGTGAAGACTTTTTACAGCCGTACTGGAAAATATATTTTGGACTTAAAACTGCGATTGCTATTTGAAACCGTTTTCAAACAGAATCAAGCATCGCTCCGTATTTGCTTTGGCGGGTTAGATGTACGCAAGTTAACAATTAGTGTAGCTGTTCCAATGTTTCTCTCACAAATCTAGCAGTCTGGTAGGTAAAATCCTTAGATCTTAATCTACAAACTACGAGATTGCGAATGTAACAGATGCGAGAAATGCGTAGTTAGCATCAGGCCCAGGCTTGATTTAGTCTTCTAGCGTTAACTTTAAAAGAAGCTGAGATGATCCTCTTTTTAAATCTGAATCCCATAAATTACTAGGTCACACCTAAATTACAGACCGCGGAAGCTAAATACTGTCGGAAGCTAGTTTCCTTTTTGGACCCTGAAACACTTCGAATTGCCATCGGGCTTCACTTAGGAAGGTTCCCATGTGTACTCCATGTCCCTGTGGCATTGAAGTAAGTAGCCTTGAACACTTTGGCCTCCTTTGCCAAAAGAGTGCATGTCGTTTTTCTTACACGCACAACGATATCATACGCCGCTCTCTTGCCTTCGTAAACATTCCAGCCATAATTTATTATTTTCTGCAAAAATATGAGAGTCTTTTCACCAACTTTGATTTGGTTTATACTGGGTTTGAGACTCTTGGGACCTCTTAAAGTGCACAGGCGCTAAATAAGATTTACTCGTAAGTTAGCGCCTGGTAGATAGTACCGGTGACCTGACCTGGTGCTTTCCTCGCTCAACGAATAAGTATCGTAATACAGCGAGGAAATGCTGCTAACATTAAAGGTTGCCAGTGCCAGAACTATTTTAATTTGTTTTGGTTTTCTCTTATATTATTATTATTATCATGTAAGTTACGAATATTGTAAATACTCTTTATTTGCGTGTTATTCGATATTTTTTACAAAAAGATCTGAATTCTAAAAGACACAATATAGAATCAATCTACAAATTCGTGATTCCCTTTTGGTTTGATCATGTATTAAGTTTTAACGTAGAACACCATTTTATTTAAAAAAAATAACGAATGTAAAGGGAAATTTTTCGTGATCAATCTCATCAGTGACATTGATATCAAACTGGTGTAAAAACCCCGAGTTTAGTATATTATATAAAACATTGTGTAAATTACTTTTTTAAGTTTCATGAGGATATGCCATAATAAAAAAACCGGATGCCTTTAGAATGCGCTATGGAAGTACAAGGTGAGCCTTGTTAGCAATAATAATTTATGAATTATTGAAACTTACATAATATGTAATACTTTATTTGTCATTCCTTATAATATAAGCTTTTAGTATTTAGGATTTATTGCAATAATGACTTAACACGGTATCTTTAAGTAATTAAAGAGAGATGTTAGAAGAGGAACCCTTTTCTTATATATAGCATGTATATTGTATACAGCAAATAAGGCAGTAGAACAACGCTTTTTATCTAAATTATAAAAGTTTAGATAAAGGCCAAAAGCAACTTCGTTGTTGTTACTAAAAGTTTGATTCTCCTTTGCCTAAAAAACGTAACATATTTAAACACATTTCTCTGGATAACAATTAAATGTCATGTCGCTTTCATTACGTCTTTCTACGTACTTTCAGAAAAGTCATGTTAATTTATTATGAAATCAAAGTAGTTCAAAACTTGTCGACCTCAAAGTTCAAATGACATGCTATATAAGTTGATTTTTGCAACTGATAGTTATCATTCGAATTAAAACCTTACAGACAACATGTTCTCTAAAGTAAGTTTTCAAGAGAGGTTTAAATAATAGTAATAGTTAAAAGTATAAATTGTTTTTAATTAAACCTTAAAAACTAAGCAAATATTTTTTTTCATCTTAATGGAAACTCCCGTTGAAGAGTCAATATTTTTTTATAAACTAAGTGGTATAAATTTCCATAACAATTAATTATATTTTGTTTTCAGATTTTCGGCATCAGCGCTGTTTTGGCGGTGGCCTCTGCCGGCCTCCTCCCCGCTGCCCACTACTCCCCAGCGTCCGCAGTGTCTTCACAAAGCATTGTCCGCCATGAGCAGCCAATTGCTGTCGCCACACCTTACTACCAATCTGCTCCCTTGGCATACTCTTCCCCCAGCCAATACTCCTCTGCCGTTTCCTCCCAAAACATTGTCCGTCACGCTGCCCCTGTAGCTATCACCCATGCCGCTCCTCTTGTACACGCCACTCCCGTTGTCCACACTGCTCCCTTAGTCCACGCTGCTCCAGCCCGTGCCATCATCGCCCAACACGAGGAATACGACGCACACCCCAGCTACGACTTCTCCTACTCCGTCGCCGACGGCCACACCGGTGACAACAAGTCCCAGCACGAGAGCCGCGACGGAGATGTTGTACATGGTGAATACTCTCTGGTTGAAGCTGACGGCTCAATCCGCCGCGTAGAGTACACCGCCGATGCACACAACGGCTTCAACGCAGTCGTCAGCAACTCTGCACCCGCTCACTCCGCACCTGCCTACGCCCCGGCTACCGTTTTGGCTCACCATTAAACATCAACCAAAAAATCTAAGAATATACACGATACATATTAAGTTATTTATTGTAAATAAATACACTAGTTGATCAAAGTAAATTTTCTGTTTTTTCTTTCACTACTGTCTATCTAAATTATATCGCGAATAGAATGTTATAATGTTGTATTTTATAAACATAAATCTAATGTGTTTTATCTAACTCCAAAACGGCATAAACAAATTGATAATCGAAATCTCAAATTAGATTTTTACAACTTATACTTTAGAAACTGTAAAAAGCGTCTAAGAATTGAAAAAGCCAAAGCCACCAACAGAGACTTCACCACTGTGAAGATTAATCAAAACTGAAATGCAAGTTAGTACTGGGAACATTATTTCATTGTTATGTTTATAAGATATAACTTGTTTTTAAAAAGAACAGATGGTCTAAGATCCCGCTATACAACGACCTTCACCGAGATGCTTATTTAATGAAACTTATTTTATATATAATTTAATATGTCAATAAATATAATCCATATGGGTTGCCTAGCAAATTTCAGTCCAGAGTATGTTTAATTAATTAAAAAAAAAATATTTTTTTAAAAATTTCACCGGTATGATTATTAGATAAATTCTATACCAATCAAACGTATGAAGCCCATAGAATATGCAAACGTTAGGTTGTTTTTAATCAATTAATTATTTATGTGTATATTTTTTATGTGACACTAAAGTATATATACATCTTTAGTATAAAAGAAGGTTATAGTGATACATATATAATACTACCCTGATTAAAAATATTGATTGAAAAAAGTTCAAAAAATTTACTACATGCAAATTATAAAAATATTTTTTTTTTTTTAATATTAATTAAACATACTCTGGACTGAAATTTGCTAGGCAACCCATATGGATTATATTTATTGACATATTAAATTATATATAAAATAAGTTTCATTAAATAAGCATCTCGGTGAAGGTCGTTGTATAGCGGGATCTTATACTAAGAGGGCAAACTAGCAGTAAGGCTCTTCTGATGTTAAGTTATACAGTCACCAATGGACGGTCACACTGACAGAAGGCTCGCGAACGTTTTCTTGAAGGACCCTTATTCAAATTGTATCCGAAATACTTCAGTGGGCAGCTGGAACAAATAGTGGTGGTGCACTGCAAAATGTGCCCTGAAAAACGGAAATGTGTGAAACTGTACTTAAGTAAATATTAAAATAGTCCTTTAATCAATAAAATATCTCACTAGTGTTAATTACTCTCATTATGCAAATGTACGTATTACAATATGTTCGCGAGTGTGAACTCGTGATTATGAAGTTTGCATGCAATCGTCAGTTGATATTATAAATTAAATTTTCAAATTATATTAATTAATCGCATTATGATTAAAGTTTATTTTCTTTTTAATAAATGACAATCATACATCAATTCCCTGATTCTAAGTAAAACCAATCTTGAAAGTAAAAAGTATCAAACGAGTCATATTACCGAGCGGGCCATAATATATAATGGGTTGTAACATCAGTACCCGGGTGAACCAATGGGGTACACCAAAAATAACGCGTTAGATAGTACAATAATGTTTTCATTGATTATTTCACCCTAGCTTTCTATCGTGGCACATAATCTCCCTGTACGAGAGGGTGGGCATTTTGCTCACTCAGGCTTTCTTAGTTTTATAAGCGTGGCGATTTCCTAAATCGTCGTAATTTCGACCCGAGAGTTTTGCCAGACGTAGACACTCTCTTCAACTGTTACTTTGCATTTATTCGTTTCATAGCAATTAACATTTCATTATTTCGCTTATATTCTATTGTTGTAAGCGAGTGGTTAATATAGAGTAAAAATAAAATCCTCTATTATTTAAAGAACACGATGGAAACCGTACACTTCCCATGCGTGGAAAGTCTAACAACTTTTGTATGGTATAGAACAGATCCATAAGACCAATAACAAGCAAGGCGACGATTCTTCTTCTTCTTCAAGGTGAAGGCCTTCTATGCCCGTCAAAGTGAGGCTTGGTTTAACCAGGTGCGAGATCAGTTGTGCTCAGGAGTTGACATATTTTATAGCAGTAGTATCCATTATGTACGTATTAGATTGAGTTATTGTTGCACATTCTCGCAACATTCAAAATTGAAACATTTGCTTAAAACTTTTTTTTGATTGAAACATTTTTATTGGAGCCACAACAATAACTGCAGCATCTTACGCTTGAAAACATGGAGATTATCGCGAAAAGGAACTGTTTCGTATATACTGATAAATTAAAGATTGTGTACATCGCAAAACGTTTTTTGAAAGACAGCTGCTCAGTGTTGCCAACTTAGTCTACAAAATATCTAACATATACTAGAGCATCGTTCATGACAGAGACCTAATAGTTAGTTAGAGAAACGTTTTTAAACAAGGTAAGTTCGCACGGCCAGGACAAAAGTTGGCTTAATTCTGATTCATTTTTCTGCAAATGCATCAGAATTATAAAATCTACCAGGTTTTATAATTGTTTCAAGACAAAAATTATATCAATGTGGCGGCGTCTATGGCAAAATAATTTAGTTAATATGGTTATATAGTTTAATATGGTTAATTAAGAAAGCCAGTCTATTTTTAATAATCGTATTTATAACTAAGTCCACTAAATAAATGGTTTAGTAAAATGGCGGTCAATCCGTCCATCCGTGTACTAATGTGTAATACGGACACATCCGCCGATTATTAATCTAAACAAAATAACGAGTATAATATAAGAAATATAATAAAACGAAAAAAAAGAATTTTGAAATTAATAATTGAACTTGCCACACTTTCACTGATCGATGAATTTTTTGCCAGTTGCCTATATTTTGTACCTCGACGACCTTGGAAAATTTAACGCCTTAGTATAAAGCTTGGTCCGGGTCCTTTAATTAATCAGTATCAAGCGATTCATTCCTTCAACATGTTCTCTAAAGTAAGTGCCACTGTAAACGTGTTTAATAATTGGTAACCAAAGAAAAAAAGAAATAATTAACTAATAATGATTTTCTTTTTAAGGTTCTTGCTTTAAGCGCGGTGTTAGCCGTGACCAGCGCTGGTCTCCTGGCTACTCCCGCAGTTCACTACTCTCCAGCTTCCGCGGTCTCCTCACAGAGCATCGTGCGTCATGAGCAGCCAATCGCCGTAGCCGCTCCCGTTGCATACCAATCTGCTCCACTCTCATACGGCTCTCCCGCTCGTTACTCATCCGCTGTCTCCTCACAAAACATCGTCCGCCACCAACAGCCCATTGCCTACAACGCCGCTCCTCTCTCTTATGCCACACCTCTCTCTTACGCTGCTCCCGCTCGTTACTCATCTGCCATCTCCTCCCAGAACATCGTTAGTCATGGACAGGCTATTGCTCCCGCCCGTCTGGCTTACCAAGCTACCCGTGCTGTGATCGCTCCCGTTGTCCACGCTGCACCTCTTGTCCACGCTGCTCCAGCCCGCGCCATCATCGCCCAACACGAGGAATACGACGCACACCCCAGCTACGACTTCAACTACTCCGTAGCCGATGGCCACACTGGTGACAACAAGTCCCAGCACGAGACCCGCGACGGAGATGTTGTACGTGGTGAATACTCCCTGGTTGAAGCTGACGGCTCAATCCGCCGCGTAGAATACACCGCTGATGACCACCATGGCTTCAACGCCGTCGTCAGCAACTCTGCACCCGCTCACGCCGCCTCCGCATACGCCCCAGCTGCTGTTCTTGCCCACCACTGATAAGACCTATTATAGAGTAGAATAGGATCGTTTATAAGAGTTCTATTTATAACGAATAAAAGCACTAAATTCAACTTTGTTATATTTTTAGTATCGTTCAAACAATAATAATCATGCAGGTAAGTAGGATTGCTTCTAATGTTCATACCCACATCTCATATTATCATAACCATTCAACTTAATTATGAAAAATATTATTGGCTAAGCCATATATTAACTTAGCAAAATTTATCATTGGATATCACTACTACGTAACTAGAAAGTTATAAATTCGTAATATTGAACACAATATCTTTTATATTATATTTATTTATTTATGAGTTCTAAAACAACGTGTAAGCATAAAATTATACAAGAAAATATGACATCACAAATTATCCACATATAACGCATCAATTATATTAGAACATAAAATATATAATAGAAGAGTCAGCTAAATCTTAAGCTAACTATACCATATATTTAATAAACACCTATTAATTACTTTATTTTTAGCCTTGGAGTGTTCTTAAATACATATATAAATAAATAAGGGCCTTATTATTATTCTGTAATTTATAAGAAAAATAATTAACAACATTTTTAGCGACCAGTTTTATGGTCAGGTTGTCTTCTGATATAGACCTACCCTGTTATAGCCCATTCTGCTTTTTCCCAGCCTAGCCTGCTTACCTCTCATCTTACTTATTATTTACTTGACGTTCCCTCTTCCTTTTGCCTTCTCTTGGGTACCATTCTAATACATCTTTTGTCCATTTCTCTTTTTTGCTTCTATAATTCTATAATCTATAACATGCATAGGACATGTTCCAGATCCATTTTATTTTCTTTATTTTATGTAGAACGTCGTACGAACGTACTGGAATTAATTGATAAACGCACACCTATGCAAGTAAAGTATAGATCCCTAGAGAAAGCACTAACATATATAAACTATTTGCAAAACAGAATGAAAACGAACTAGGCGAATAAACGATAGTTTTAATGGAAGAGAGAAATCATATGTTATAAAAATGAAAAGAAAACCATCAGTGGATACATCGCAGTAATCAGTAGCAATATTCAAACATCAATAAGAAAACACAAAAATCTGTCTACTCCAGACAACTACAGAATACTAGTTAAAATAGCAACTACAAAAGCATTGAAACAAGTTAAAGGCCACTTACAATGGATACCAAATATACAAGTAAAATCTAGCTAGGTAATCGAAAAACAGCAAATTCTACAGCATGTTATACATGGAAATGGATAGAACAACACTCACCAAAACGTAATAAATAACTAACAGTACAGAGTACTTTAACTTTGTATAGATAAATTTATAAAACAAAGTTTTTTCTATAATAATACTTAAACAATTATTAAAACAGTTGAATGAAAACCAACCCAGAGTATTCTCTTACCCTATCGAGTACTTTTTCAATGTAGTCTGTAGACTTCTTTACCAAAGATCATATTTTCGTCAAAAAATAAATTATCGAAAATCTAAAATAATGTGGTTACCATACCATATGGCTTTCGTAGACAATAATAAGGCTTTCGGTTCTCTAAGACATATAGCTACACCTGGAATACGCAAAAAAAATCAAACCACTGATAGTAAATATATCGAAATTATATAATTATTACATTACATTTACAAAACCTCAACAGCGTTAATCCGATTGGAAACATAGAGAGGAATTTCCTGTGAAGAAGGGGCAAGGAGACCCACACTCTTAAAAAAAAATTAACAGCCATACAAGAAAATATATTTTAGAGTTTAAACTGAGAAATCTATTTTAAACCGTTTTGAAACGGAATCTAGCATCGCTCCCCATTCGCGTTGGCGGATTAGGAGTATGCAAGATAAGTGTAGCTCTTGCAGCGTTTCTCTCATCTGCTCACAAATCTAGCAGTCTAGTAGGTAAATCTTTAGATTTTATTCTACAAACTACGAGATTGCGGATGTATCAGATGCAAAAAAATAGAAGTTAACATCTGGCCTAGGCTTGAGATTGCCAGCGTCAACTTTCGAAGGAGCTTTAAAAAACATTTTCACGAATGCAAAGGGAATTTTTTCGTGGTCAATCGCTTGTTGTCATTGTTGTGACAGTGTTTTTAGTTTTAAAAGATTGGCGGACAGTTTATTGTCAGTCCTTCTCTTCCGTTCTACGCCCTTGATTTGAGAACTGGCAGTGAATGTAAAATTAGAAGCATTTAATATGTATTTTTTTGACTTTCATATACACTACATTGTGTTACCTAAGTGAAAAAATGATTTTGATTTGATTTGAGTGACAGATTGCTATATCATCAGTTTAGTATATTATGTAAAAATTTGTGTGTTAATATTTCATGAGGATATGCCATAGTAAAAAACCGGATGACTTTAGAATGCGCTACGGAAGAACAAGGTCAGCCTTATAAGCAAAAATAATTTATGTATTATTGAAACTTACATAATATGTAACACTTTTTTGTCATTCGTTATAAAATTAGCTTTTAGTGTTCAGGATTTTTGCAACAATGACGTAACACGGTATCTTAAAGTAATTATTAAAGAGAGATGTTAGAAGAGGAACCCTTTTCTTATATAGAATGTATATTGTATACTGCAAATAAGGCAAGTATAACAACGCTTTTTATCTTCATTATAAAAGTTTAGATAAAGGCCAAAAGCAACTTCGTTGTTGTTACTACTAGTTTGATTCTCCTTTGCCTAAAAAACGTAACATATTTAAACACATTTCTCTGGATAACAATTAAATGTCATGTCGCTTTCATTACGTCTTTCTACGTACTTTCAGAAAAGTCATGTTAATTTATTATGAAATCAAAGTAGTTCAAAACTTGTCGACCTCAAAGTTCAAATGACATGCTATATAAGTTGATTTTTGCAACTGATAGTTATCATTCGAATTAAAACCTTTCAGACAACATGTTCTCCAAAGTAAGTTTTCAAGAGAGGTTTAACTTCCGTTGATCAATAAATATTTTTATAAAAGAAGTAGAAGCAAACTATTCAATTGCATAATTTCCATAACAATTAATTACATTTTTTTTCAGATTTTCGGCATCAGCGCTGTTTTGGCGGTGGCCACTGCAGGCCTCCTCCCAGCTGCCCACTACTCGCCAGCGTCCGCAGTATCTTCACAAAGCATTGTTCGCCATGAGCAGCCAATTGCTGTCGCCTCACCTTACTACCAATCTGCTCCCTTGGCATACTCTGCCCCCAGACAGTACTCCTCTGCCGTTTCCTCCCAAAACATTGTCCGTCACGCTGCCCCTGTAGCTATCACCCATGCCGCTCCTCTTGTCCACGCCACTCCCGTTGTCCACGCTGCTCCCTTAGTCCACGCTGCTCCAGCCCGTGCCATCATCGCCCAACACGAGGAATACGACGCACACCCCAGCTACGACTTCTCCTACTCCGTCGCCGACGGCCACACCGGTGACAACAAGTCCCAGCACGAGAGCCGCGACGGAGATGTTGTACATGGTGAATACTCTCTGGTTGAAGCTGACGGCTCAATCCGCCGCGTAGAGTACACCGCCGATGCACACAACGGCTTCAACGCTGTCGTCAGCAACTCTGCACCCGCTCACGCCGCCCCTGCCTACGCCCCGGCTACCGTTTTGGCTCACCATTAAACATCAACCCAAAAATCTAAGAATGAGACCAAGTATATTAAATTATTTATTGTAAATAAAAACCCTAGTTGATCAAAGTAATTTTTCTCTTTTTTCCTTACCTATCCTACCTACCTATTTGTCTATCTACTCATAAATTACAACGCGAGTATAATGTTGTATATTAACATGAATCATGTTTATGAAACCCTGGGAAATAACTTTACAAACTGTAGAAAGCGTCGACTAAGAATTTAAAAAATATGCCAAAGCCAGAGAGGCTTCTTCACGAAATATCGATGCTGTTCGAGTTGCTCGCCATCAAAGTGAAGATTAAAAAGGGCAAAACCTTTTGTGCCAGTTCAAATTTAAGACTCAAAACTAATTACAAGTGAGTAATGGGAATATTATTTAATTGTTATTTGACATTACTTTTTTTTAAAAAGAACAGCGGGCAGACGGGCCGTAAGTTTATTTGATGTTAAGTGATACAGTCATGCCAGAAAGCACACCAGTATGTTGCCAGCGTTTGAAGAATTGGAACACCTTTTCTTGAAGGACACTAAGTCAAATTGGATCCGAAATACTTTAGTAGACAGCTAGTGCAAAAAGTGCCATTAATATTCTCTTATTACATTTTTAAATCATCGTATAATCTCCCCCTCTCCGCGTTTTTTTAAGTTCTACTGAAAAGCATGATTATAATATACAGTTGTTGTTGCACGATCTCCTAAAATTCATGTTCGAAACATTTGCTTAACAACACACACTTGACAGATAAATATACATTTAACTCCCGTAAAACAATTACAATTCTTAATGATGAACTTAATAATATTAAAAAATAACTTTTTTTAGTTAACCTTTTTTATTGAAGCCCGAACAATAAATGCAGCATCTAACGCTTAATGACATGGAGATTATCACAAAAAGGATCAGCTTCGTATAGGGTATAGGATATATGAAGCATCATTCTTGACAGATAGACCTATTGATAAAAGCGCTTTTATCGAAGGTTAGTTCTCACGGCCAGGAAAGTTTGGCTAATTCTTAAAATGAAATTTATTTCTTTAGAATATTGGTACAATATCTACTGGGTTTTATATTTTTTTTAGACAAAGATTATGTCAATATGGTGGCGTCTATAGCAAAATAATGCATATTTGAGGAATGATACCACCTTTTTTAATCATTAATAGCTATAGCTATTATATAAAAGACATAGATATTTAGTTAGTCGGTCCATCTGGGGATCCGTCTAGATGGATTGAATAAATCGCTTAAGGGCATAACTTCAATTCTTAGTAAAGTAAGATTTTATATGCATAAAAATTCTCCAGCAGTTAGCCCCGAGAGAGAAAGACAAAAATACACAGTGTAAACATATTTGAGCCTCTCTCACACACCCATCAATCCCATCAATCTCACTGCTACAAGTTACTAATAAGTAAAGTGTCCATATAGAAAGAAGTTAGACTGTTCAAATGTTGCGCAATTCGGGTTTGTACAATTCTTTCAATAAAACAGATGAGATTCATTAAAACAATTCATATTTGATTTGATATATTATACAAAATGTAGTTAATTTGTAGGTCTTTTATAGGTCCCCATATTTCCAATACCTGCAGTCGTTACAAGGTATATTATACCTAACTGAATCTGTGTATTACATAATGTTTGTTATATTTTTTGTACTATATGGGCCCAACTTAAGTTATTTTAATCAATCGTGTTTTATAGAATTTATTAAAATTGTAATTAATTTTCCTTTAGTGACATTATCAAAGAAAAATCGTTTTATTCAAAAAAGTAGCCGGAGAGGAAAAATTTAATTAAATTATAAAGGCGATTTAAATAATATTTAAAGGCGATTTCCCAAAATTCTTATATTTTGAATTATGCCTTAGAAGTACTGAGGATATCCAAAATAATAATTACAAAATACTATGGACACATCCACATATTATTAATCTGAATAAGACATCGAGAATGAAAGAAGAGATAATATAATAAAACGAAAAAGGGTAATTATGTAGTAGTTATTGAACTTGCTAGCCAAACTTGTCCCCAACCTTTCACTGATCGATAAAATTTTTGCCAGTAAATTACCTATGCTAATATATTGTACCTTGACGACCTTGGAAAATTTAACGCCTTAGTATAAAGCTTGCCCTGGGTCCTTTAATGAATCAGTATCAAGCAAGTCTTTCTTTCAACATGTTCTGTAAAGTAAGTGCCACTGAAAATGTTTGTTAATTAGTATTACTAAAGAAAATAAGAAATAATTAACTAATAAAGATTTTCTTTTAAAGGTCCTTGCTTTAAGCGCGGTGTTAGCAGTGACCAGCGCTGGTCTCCTGGCTACTCCCGCAGTTCACTACTCTCCAGCTTCCGCGGTCTCCTCACAGAGCATCGTGCGTCATGAGCAGCCAATCGCCGTAGCCGCTCCCGTCGCATACCAATCTGCTCCACTCGCATACGCGTCTCCCGCTCGCTACTCGGCTGCTGTCTCTTCACAAAACATCGTCCGCCACCAACAGCCTATCGCCGTAGCCGCTCCCATTGCTTACAACGCCGCTCCTCTCTCTTATGCGTCACCTCTATCCTACGCTTCTCCCGCTCGTTACTCATCTGCCGGTGCAGTCTCCTCCCAGAACATCGTTCGTCACGGACAGGCCATTGCTCCCGCCCGTCTGGCCTACCAAGCCGCTCCTGCTCTCGTTGCACCAGTTGTCCACGCTGCTCCACTTGTCCACGCTGCCCCAGCCCACGCCATCATTGCCCAACACGAGGAATACGACGCACACCCCAGCTACGACTTCGCCTACTCCGTAGCCGACGGCCACACCGGTGACAACAAATCCCAGCACGAGACCCGCGACGGAGATGTTGTACGTGGTGAATACTCACTGGTTGAAGCTGACGGCTCAATCCGCCGCGTAGAGTACACCGCTGATGACCACCATGGCTTCAACGCCGTCGTCAGCAACTCTGCACCCGCTCACGCCGCCCCTGCCTACGCCCCGGCTGCCGTTCTTGCTCACCACTAAACATCAGAAAAACAATCTAAGAATGAGATCATAGATATTAAGTTATTTATTGTAAATAAACACATTAGTTGATCAAAGTAAATTTTCTGCATTTTTATTCACTGCGCAACTTTACCAAAACTTCTTGTAAATATAAGAATAAATATTTAAAACACCAACTATAAAGTATAAAAATTAGTTATTTCTAACAAATTAAAAGTCTTTAAAATAAATAAAGCGACAAAACTCAAATTCGCAACATTTTCATAGCAAAAATATTTCCCTATTTTCATAATGTATGTAAGCAAAGTAAATATTTTATGGCATGATACGCCATCAGTACCTACCTAATATTTTTGCTGAATTTTCTTCGAGTAATTTAGTATCGGAAGCGATTTAAATATCTAATAGCTATCTATCGGTTTAAAAATTTGAAAAATATTGTGGTTTTAGGCTACAAAAATTATTGACGTTTTTATCTCAATATTTAATTCTTCAATATTTTTGGTCGATATTGAACATAATACCTATACGCTCAATTTCGATGCAACAAACATTCATTGTAAGTATTGTAGATATATTTAAGATTGAAATTAAATATAAAGAATTAATTTAATCGTTATTTAATTTTCGTTCCCACTAAAATAATGTGTATAATGTATATATTACTTAAAAATTAGTTAGTGTTAAAATTATATTACAACTAATTACAGGTCCCGGCACGAATCACCGTTATTGCGCATGAGTACAAAATACGGTATCAGAGGGACGAAAGCGGGACGCGGGGCGGTCGCGCGCTTCGGGCGGGAGCTGCGATTGGCTCTCCAGTCGTTCTCTGCTGCCCGCGCTCATACGTCGCCCCTGTATACACGATTGTACACATGCGCAGCTATCCCCTCCACAAGTCGCACAGCACCATTGCTTCGTGCCGGGACCAGTAGTCTCTTATAAAATTGTATCTGTAATCCAAGGACTACCTTCCGATGTTGCCAATGTATCTGGGAATTCTAAACCACGCTACTGGTCGATTTCCCAGCATCAGCACTACGATTGTCATTAAAACGAAAGCAAAGATTTTTTATAGAACAGGGGGCAACCGAGCCGGTGGCTTATCTGATGTTAAGCGATACTGCCGCTCGTGGACACTCAAATTACCAGAAGCCTCGCAAATGCGATTCCAGCCTTTTAAGAATTGGTTCGCTCTTTTTTGAAGGAAGTCGAATTGGTTCGGAAATGCTTTGGGTAGTGCCTTAGTGCCTTAAATAACGCTCAGCTGTGGAACGACGGACTTGTGTCTTCTAAGGGTTAAATTGGACTAGATTAAGTGAACCCCCGTCCACCACATTGCAGATTTTTGACTTCAGATACAAACTTGTTCTTAATTGAGAACTGCCCGAGACATACCTGCATTGACGCTATCGTCCGCAAAGCAATGAATGTTGCTGTTATAACATATAATTGATATGCAGAAGAAACAGGGTTATGGATAGGACACAGTCTTGTGGGACCCTGGGGTTCACGGGTTTGAGGTCGGAACATGGTCCATTGGCGACGATCTCGATGTTCCATCAATATGGTCCTCCAGATGGGCTGCTGAGGAGCAGCTGGCTATAAATAATGGATTCCATTATTTAGGAAGACAAGGAGGTTATTACTGGGCGATTGCTTTTTTTAGGAATTTGATGTATGCACATCGGAGCAGTGCGAGTATCGGAAAAGGCGCTACTTATAAATATCCAGGAAGATAGAGTTTTGGGAATAGCACGTTGCTGGAATATAATTTACGGCATCGCAGTATCACACGCAATAATGTCCGTGGTGATTTACTTCCCTTGGATATCTAAAGTCGAGTTCGACGCGAAGAGACAGTCCAGAACATCGGCCTTCTCCTACGCGGTGTGGGATAGCGAGTCATTCTCCCTGTGGAATGGTGGAATGAAGGGGTGACACAATCTCCCTTAGATAATTTTGGCACAGCACCACAGCACAGATACGCTCATAGCCTTAGGGCTAATTGCAAATACGCGGAGAAGAAAAAAAAATATTTTGACAAGAGGCCGGATGGCTTGAGTCCCCGAAGGAAGGTGGGTAGTTGTGAAGTCAGCAGAAGGTCCAACAAAGTGTTTATGACCATCCATATCTGGTATTCTGGTGACCACACGTGCCAAGGCGTATACCAAAGCAAACTCGTGATAAGGTCTTTCCGCGAGATTTTATACCAGAGGTTTTTTCTAACCGTCCATTTCATCAAGCGTCTCGAGGCAAGAACTGACCTCCCCCTTGACCCACACGTAAGCGACTGCCCGCGGCACAAAGGAATGTTTTAATTTGTACCCCGGGTAGGAAGATTAGGAAGTAGTATCAGCCGAGGAAGATACCTGAGTATCCGTTAATAAGAGCAAGGACGCCTTCACATTTTCCAAATGGTAGTGGACAGCGTGGATGTTGGAATGTGATATATATATGCATATAATTTGTGAAGTTCACGGTGAGTATAGAAGAGGGCACCGCTGATAGTTTGCTCGCCTGCCCCGAAATGCATATATTAGAGACTTATTTTGAAATTGAAAGTCATAGATTGCAGAGTTGCCCCCTCAGAATACGAAGGGCAGCCTGTGCGCCCACCACCGTATGCTAAGGTGAACCTATTGCATCACGCCGGTTTTCTGTGAGACAGTGGTACTGCCCCGGTAGTAATGCTAGCCCATTTGGCTGAAGCCTGAAAACAACAGCATGACACTCCCACTAGGATCGGGGTTGACTGATTGCTCTGGTGAAATAACCTTTGTCACAGGTTATTTCACCAGTGGGCGATGGGGCAGTCACGTCCCAACGCCTTGAAAATGTTTGTTACATTGCAATAAACATTTAATTATTTCGCTTATATTCTATTGTTTATTTATTTAAGTATTACAGAAATACATATAATATTATCCTTACAGACTATGCCAATACGATAATTTCGAGAAACATTAAATAAAATATAAGAAAGTAGGTACATATATAATATTAAACACATAATATACACAATATCGCTTCTGTGAATTCACTCTGCGAACATATAAATATGTCGATAGTGTCGGAGACAGCATTCAGTAGGCGCAACGTCATTGATAACGGGGATCTGTGCAACAAACTGGCTCTTGCCTTTGGTATCGCAAATAACCTTGGCCTTCGCCGTCGCACATATCCCATAGGATCTAAGAAACTCAGTTCTTGGACACACTTGGGTTGCACACTACACCCCTCAAGACTTTCCCGTCTGGTTTCCAATTAATTGTACCCCACCATCCCTAAGACAAATAATGTTGGGTACATTAAAGGATAGTAGGGATTGTTGTACGCGATTGTACTGTATATTAAACAGTAAAATAAAATCCTTAAAGCACCACGATGACCCGTATAAATAATATTGTAGAAAATTTTATTGGTTTTGTAGCAAACTGAAATATTAAATTTTCGTATATTAATAGCAGTCAATTGTGGATGTGTTTTATTTATTTTATTTTATTTTATTTTATTTTATTTTATTTTATTTTATTTTATTTTATTTTATTTTATTTTATTTTATTTTATTTTATTTTATTTTATTTTATTTTATTTTATTTTATTTTATTTTATTTTATTTTATTTTATTTTATTTATTTTATTTTATTTTATTTTATTTTATTTTATTTTATTTTATTTTATTTTATTTTATTTTATTTTATTTTATTTTATTTTATTTTATTTTATTTTATTTTATTCCATATCATTATTCTATCTTTACAGTAATTACTAATTCGATAGAATGACACAATATTTATACCCACACCAATTAACCTAGATAAAAAACATTAAAAAAATATATTTATACTAGTAGACTCGGCCAAGCGTTGCTCTGGCTAAGATTTTTGTTATATTACATAGTAGTAAACTATTCAAGGGAAACGGTAGGAGAACTTATGTGAAAGGTAGATGACAGCTTATGTGAAACGTTGATAATTTTAACACAGCGCCATCTGTTAGAATTGTATCAAATAATAAACAAATATTTTGCAATAAATTAAAATTGCGACTATAATTTGAGATTTAAACTATCCTATCTCTCAAGTTGGATCGAACTGCACATGGTGTGCAAATTTGATTGATATCGGTTCGGTAGTTTAGGAGTCCATTGAGGACAAACATTGTGACACGAGATTTATATATATTAAGATACCTAAATCTTATAACTAATAATATAGGAAGCACCTCTTGTGAACTCAGCCAGTGTACAAACAAATAGGTCTACCTTAACAGAAATCCTATTTATTATAAGTATTGCTCGCGTGAGTGGTGCTTCGCTAACCAAGTTGGAATGTGCGCGCGGTACCAAAGTTGAGACTTCCGCCACAGGTTTCTACTTGGTACCCGTAGACTCAGTCTCTCCATTATATCCAGATTATGCACCCGACCCGTAAGTATCTTAAATATATACACTGACAAGGCTAGCTCTCTTCTGAGGCGTAGCTGGTCATAACCCACCTTACCCAGAACAGGGGATACACTCCATACAGTCTCTTGTAGAGGTAACGGGCGAATTTATTTTGTACTCGCTCTAACATGAGACTGTATTTAGCCTCATATGGGGCCCACACCATTGCGTTGCACTCCAAGTGACTTCTGACTAACGCATTGTATAAAATTTTAATTGCACTGATATTCGTGAAGCCACAAGCTATTCGTAATAATATGAACCCCAAGTTTCTGTAAGCCTTTTTGCATGTCTTATCGACGTGTTGCGCAAACCCAAGATTCGCATTAAAATATACTAATCTTTGACTTCTGATACTTTAGCCAGTGTTAAGAGCAAAGGGTCGAAATAAATCAAATTCTTTGATTTTCTTTATAGACAACTCTTTAATCACTTTGAACTTAGAATGGTGAGAACGGTCCATGCGATAATTTGAATATAATCGGTATGTATAAAAAAGAATAAGAAGTGACAGTACTATGTTAGTGAAATAGGATTTAGGCAATTATATGCAAGCAATAAGTGCAATATTTTACAAACTTGATCCATTAATTATGTTTTTGAATAATTATATTAATCAATCAAAATTTATTTAGAAATAATGCACTTCAAAGTTGTACCATAAAAAAACAGACTGGGTTTGCTAAAAATATACATTTGTAATAGTCATTGAACTTGCTATCTAGACCAGTCGCAAAACTTTCGCTGATAGTAATATTTTATATTTTAAACTTATATCATCATATATCGACCATGTCGACCTTGTAAAATTTAAAGCTTTAGTATAAAGCTTGCATAGGCCCTTCATTGAATCAGTATCAAGCGATTTTTCTTTAAACATGTTGTGTAAAGTAAGTTTAAATTATTATTTTAAATAAAAAAAGTTATAGTATGTTGTATTAATAAATGTTTTCATTTTCAAGGTATTTGTTTTAAGCGCGGTGTTAGCGGTGGCCAGTGCCGGTCTTTTGGCCGCTCCAGCAGTTCACTACTCTCCAACTTCCGCGGTCTCCTCACAGAGCATCGTGCGCCATGAGCAGCCAATCGCCGTAGCCGCACCCGTCGCATACCAATCTGCTCCAATCGCATACGCCTCTCCCACTCGCTACTCCTCCGCTGCCGCTGTCTCCTCACAGAACATCGTCCGCCACCAACAGCAGATTGCCGTAGCTGCCCCTGTTGCCTACAACACCGCTCCTCTCTCTTATGCCACACCTCTATCTTACGCTGCTCCCGCTCGTTACTCATCTGCTGCCGCAGTCTCCTCTCAGAACATCGTCCGTCACCAACAGCCCATTGCCTACAACGCCGCTCCTCTCTCTTATGCCACACCTCTTTCTTACGCTGCTCCCGCTCGTTACTCATCTGCTGCCGCAGTCTCCTCTCAGAACATCGTCCGCCACCAACAGCGCATTGCCTACAACGCCGCTCCTCTCTCTTATGCCTCACCTCTCTCATACGCTGCTCCCGCTCGCTACTCATCTGCCGTCTCCTCCCAGAACATCGTTAGTCACGGACAGGCTATTGCTCCCGCACGTCTGGCCTACCAAGCTGCCCCTGCTGTAGTCGCTCCAGTCGTCCACGCTGCTCCCCTTATCCACGCTGCCCCAGCCCGCGCCATCATCGCCCAACACGAAGAATACGACGCACACCCCAGCTACGACTTCGCCTACTCCGTAGCCGACGGCCACACCGGTGATAACAAGTCCCAGCATGAGAGCCGCGACGGAGATGTTGTACGTGGTGAATACTCCCTGGTTGAAGCTGACGGCTCAATCCGCCGCGTTGAGTACTCCGCTGATGACCACAATGGCTTCAACGCTGTCGTCAGCAACTCTGCACCCGCTCACACTCAGACAATCCGCGGACACTGAGTAATCTCTAGACTGAAACTTTAGCTTAATAATGTAAGCATTTATTTATTAAAAACATGTTGTTACAATCCTATAGCGCCTCTTATTTCTACATCCATAGCTTTTTATAATTTAGAAGTTTAAAAAAAAGGAAAATTTCGTATTATATGTATTTATATAATATATATATATAAATAGTAACAAAAAAGGTTCAACACTGATTTGCATTTACAATGCCATTTTTTCAGGATTACAATAATTCTGAATTAAATTTTACTATCCATCACTCACATATGTCACAAAAACAAAACTGTCTCATCGCTAAAAAACCTTATTGGATATCACTTATTGACATTGAGCTATCAGGAGGCAGCGGCGACGCGGCAAATTTAAACTAAATGAACACCACAACACTAGTGCGATGTTCACTTCGCAGTAGTTTACTTTACATATTATGTCTGTTGATCTTTCACAAATTTTAGTATATCTGTGATAGATAGAGATGAGCTATAGGTGTGGGGGAGCAGCATAGACTTTACGTGGCGCAACCAGGTACCATATCAGAGATGATGCTCTCTTCGGTACTTATTGCACAGAGGGATCCTAAAGATACGTGTAAGCGAAAAAAAGCAACGCCACATCTCGAATAACATATAAACACAAAATTTAACGTCTTTTCACTACTGTGAACTATATAAACCTTCACACATGTTATTCAATTATTTATTTACACTTCGTTACCTTATACAAAAACATACATATAAAAATGCAGGTTACATAAGTTTTTAGGCAACGGGCGGCCTTGTCGCTAACAAGCGATTTCTTCCAGGCAACCCTAATATGGAACAATAAAAAAAGAAACACCTACAGAGGGCAAAGAAAAAGAAGTGCATAAATAATTAACAAAAACAAACTACCATGTAACTAAAATAAAATAAAGTAAAATCTAAAGAAAATAATAATAATAACTTATAATATGTATAAACAAAAATGTAATGTTGGAAAGTTTTTACTTGTCTTGAAACAATCAATGTACTTAGTACATTAAACTAAAAATACTAGGAAATAAAAATAATAGGTACATCAATTTACAATAAAATGAATAAAAAACAACGTTTTTAAAAGTGTTTCACTAGTTGCAATCATCTATAAATATTTAAAAAGTTCTAGTAATTTGTGTTCTATTACATTCCAAACTAAAGTTTTACATATAAAGTGGAACGTATAAATAAGATTATAAGATTATTTGGGAAATAAAAATTAGAAGCTTGACACGTCTTGTAACTATTAACATTTGTCAGCTACTACAGAACAAAAATATGACAATACTATACAATGAGAACTTATTTTGGAGCATTTGGACACATGAAGACTAGCCTTTTATTAAACAAATCTATTGTGAAATCCCTACGCTTCACAAGCATAATGAATGTACAATCGAATAACAACGATACAGCAATGCCGATATGAAAGATTCCATAAGTTATTTCTGGTTATATCGTAAAACTAGAACAGAGACGAAAAAATGAGCTGGATTACTTTTTCTGAATGAGCAGTTGGCCTAGTGGCTTAAGCGACTCTCATACCTGAGTACGTAGGTTCGATCCCCGGCTGTCCACCAATGGACTTTCTTTCGATGTGCGCATTTAACATTCGCTCGATTGGTGAAGGAAAACATCGTGAGGAAACCGGCTTGCCTTAGATCCAAAAAAGTCGACGATGTGCATCACGCACAGAAGGCCGATCACCTACTTCAGCCTATTAGATTTAGAAATGTTCATGAAACAGATACAGAAATCTGAGGCCCAGACCTAAAAAGGTTGTAGCGCAATTGATTTATTTATTCACTTTTTCTGAATAGATTTTATAGGATAATTATTCGCAACAGAGCTTCCCCTCTAGACAAGTGGCATAGTTAAAAGCTCTGTAGCATTATCGATATAAAATTGGTAGCAAAACGTAGTATACGTAGTAGTTGTCGAACGCTCAGTCGATTCAATTGTTCGATAGCTGTCGAACTTTGTCACTGGTTTTGTTAGTAAAGTTCAAATTACTTGACATTTTGACAAATGTAGAGATTGTTTTAGGTATATTATAAATATTCCTTTAATCTAAAAAAATGCTGATATTTTATTACGCACAGTTTATTACGAAGACTACATTTCAGCGTAATTGGTAACTACTTCAATTCAACAATATTATTTACTTTTATCGTCACTTAAGTATAATTATTTTAGTGATTATTGTTACTCTCGCTTTATAGATTTCAATGATACTACAACTTTGTTAAGTACGTACTTAATAGCACAGAACACTTGGAGATTTCCTAACCTTCAGTTATAAGTATATAATCTCACAATTTTATTTTGAATCATTATCGTATGCTGTTTAAAATACTACGACGAATTGTACAGAGAATAACTGCCTGCATCAGTGTCATTTGATCCACGTTGACGTTGATGAAATCGGACTGTGGGGCTTATTCAACGATAAATCTGTTAAGGCATCTTGTGTATGTTTATGTGATAAATTGACATTTTCGTTTTAATATTTAATAGGCAAATAAAACTAAATAAAAATGTAATATTTACTTTTTATTTACGTGAACATCCTTAAACACTTAGCTGAATAAAAACAAATCTTATAACATATATATAAACGTTTATATTTTTTTAAAAGTGTAAGTAAACATTATACTTACATATTATACTCGCACAAAATAACAGTTGTCAACCATCGCGTAAATCACTATTTTCGTTCGCTGTGATTCGAACGCTAGTACTTAATTTTCCCTGTTAAAAGTGCCACTTTACACTTAATAACATTTTGATACCAATTGTTTATTCGAACATTAGATCAATATAGCGTAAACAAATTTCAAGCCCATACATTTTTTATGTTGCTTATTTTATTCTACATAACTATAGGGCCGTTTGTCTAGGGGCACTAGTCCGACATCCCAATAATCAGGATCGCTCCACATGTGAAGTTTAGATTTTTCAGTACTTTGTGACTTAACATTTATTCAATACTTCGTGTATAATGAAGAAAATAAGTTTACAGTGGGTTTAATGTGTATTTCTTTTTTTGACGTTAATAAGTGTAGATTTTGTTACCTATATGAATAAACGATTTTGACTTTGAAACGTATATCTATGACCTTTAATGAGCCGTAGATTTCTGCATATATTTCTAAAGTTCTTTATAACGACACGTGTCAGTTTTATCAGGTTCTTCATCTTACCTTTCAATGTAATAAGACATTTCTTCAAAATTATGGAAATACCCTGAAGTATACCGTAGTGAAATTTCTACTACTCTTTTATTTTTGTGGTAATAAATGATAAAATGAAAAAATACTAATTGACTTGTAAATAACACATAGTCAGAAAAAGCTATTGGTTTAACCAAGATTTGAATAGTCGCTGAAGACAACGCAATCACTGCTAACGCAACAAAATTTCTTGGTCATAAATTATTTTGGCTGCTTTTGATTTAAATTAAAGACGATGACAATATATTCGTTTAATAAATATAATGTAGGTATCTACTAGCGGATCCGACAGACGTTATCTGTACACACACACGTATGATATATTTAAAAAAAGCGTATTATGTAAATCACTATATCTAAACCATCCAAGAGTAGCGCCAAGCGCATACAAAAAATTCATTCTAATCGGTCTAGACGTTTAAGAGGAGTTCAGTGACGTACACACGTACAGTAGAATTATATATATAAAGATATAAATAGTACTTGAGGATACATATACATAATATTTATATGCCATATAACAATGAAATCTATAAATGGATATAAAGCAAAACAATCAACATTCATATTTTAATTCTATGAATGGCACACTAAACTTGAGTTGAACGAGGTGAGAAGGTTACATAATATGCCTATCTGGTATGCGATTATTCATCAGCTGAAAGTAACAAGTAGGTATAATCATTAAGAAATCAAAAGTAGATCGTAAACTTGTCGACCTTAAAGTAATATGAATATTGCTGTATAAAAGAAAAAATTTGCACAATTTAATCAGCATTCATACAACAACCAAATTGACAACATGTTCTCCAAAGTAAGTACTCACATGAAAGAAAGTGTTTTATAGACCAGTATGGCTAAGCTATTCAAAAAGTTAAAATTTCAATTTTTATTATTAAAATTTATCTTTTCAGGTTTTTGGTATCAGCGCTGTTTTAGCGGTGGCCTCTGCAGGCCTCCTCCCAGCTGCCCACTACTCACCAGCGTCCGCAGTGTCTTCACAAAGCATTGTCCGCCATGAGCAGCCAATCGCCGTAGCCGCTCCCGTTGCATACCAATCTGCTCCACTCTCATACGCCTCTCCCGCTCACTACTCCTCTGCTGCCGCTGTCTCATCTCAAAACATCGTTCGCCACCAACAGCCCATTGCCTACAACGCCGCACCTCTCTCTTATGCCTCACCTCTTTCTTACGCTGCTCCCGCTCGTTACTCATCTGCCATCTCCTCCCAGAACATCGTTAGTCACGGACAGGCTATTGCTCCCGCCCGTCTGGCTTACCAAGCTGCCCCTGCTGTGATCGCTCCCGTTGTCCACGCTGCACCTCTTGTCCACGCTGCTCCAGCCCGCACCATCATCGCCCAACACGAGGAATACGACGCACACCCCAGCTACGACTTCTCCTACTCCGTAGCCGACGGCCACACCGGTGACAACAAGTCCCAGCACGAGAGCCGTGACGGAGATGTTGTACGTGGTGAATACTCCCTGGTTGAAGCTGATGGCTCAATCCGCCGCGTAGAGTACTCCGCTGATGACCACCATGGCTTCAACGCTATTGTTAGCAACTCTGCACCCGCTCACGCCGCTTCTGCCTACGCACCAGCTGCCGTTCTTGCTCACCATTAAATAGTTAAAGTAACCAATAACTTCCAAGTGTGTTCATGTGATATAATATAATTTAAATATTTAATATAATTACAATATATTTGAAAACTGAAGTCTTCTATTACTTATTAGACGTTGTACTTGTATATTATCTTCAAAGAAGTATATTTTTACAATATATTTTTTTTTATTATTGATATTTGGAGAACTGGTATGACTGAGAAATATATGAATGTACCTAAAAATTGATTCATAATTTTCATAATTTCAGTAAGGATCTATTAAAAGTATCCCCTACCACAAGTTTCCTGCGTAATCACAAATATTTCTAATTGGGATGAGAAGAGATGGTTGCTAACAGAGAGAGTTGCTAACGTTTTAGATATTACTGTTGAATTGCTGTTTTACACAATATTTCATCAAAAAATATAGGATTACCAGTAGAAAAGCCGGACATCACACAGATGTGATATGAATTATGGAACGCTATTCAGGCTGACATAATAAGCACATTTACCATATGACTTTGCTAATGCTTCCGTAAAAATTAAATATTGAGTTATTGGCAAATAACTCAATATTTAATTTTTATTTATATAAAGTATTATGGATTTTAAGCACACACCTTTATTCATAAAAACTAAATTCTTAATCTATCTCCATCAAAGAACTCTCTTTGTCAAATCGTTTTTAGATTGTGACCTTTCATCGATTTTATGTATAAACTTCGGTAAACAATAAAAGTATTATGTACTAATGTTGGATACATTAATACATAATATTGTATTTTAAAAGCCTCAAAATTCTTTTAGAGATTTCCTTAGGTTACTTCAGGTAAAACACTGTTCAATTTAAAAATGTGGATTTTAATAATAGAATCAACTTTGCTTTAGTACAGATATTTTAATGTTGATTATTTTATTGTAACAAAAATTAAGAAATTGGTAAATTTCACAAATCATATTCATTAACACTCATTTAGTCGACTACTACTTTCACTATTATTTAGTAATTTAATAAGATACACAAGAACTATAAGAAGTAACAATAACTATAACTTTTTAATAATCAACATTCATTTTACATAACAACATAAATCATACATTTTCTCACGATATTTTCCTCCACCGTTCGAACGAATGTTAAAATGCGCACATAGAAGGAAAGTCCATTGGTGCACAGCCGGGGATCGAACCTACAACCTTAGGGATGAGAGTCACACGCTGAAGCCACTAGGCCAACTCTGCTTTGATTTCATCTACTTCTATAGCAGTTTAATATAATCGCTGCTACAGTTGAAGTTAGAATTCGTAACAGACAACTATAAAAAAGTATTTATCAAAGTAATCAATATAAAAATAAATCATTTGAATTATAGAAACGATAATCATTTATTTATTTATTAACACTCTGTTGCTTTATGATATAAAAAATTTAACAAAATTACAATTAAAGAAAAGGCAACTGGTCAACATTGGATAAAAACTAAGGTAAATGACCTCGCGATTTGTTTTTTATATTTTAATTTGAATATGTGATTTTATGAATATGATCTTCCGTGTAAATTTGTTCTTCAGCACGTTACAAAATATCACCCAAATATTTGCTACGTTTCGCCCATTCGTTGTGGAACGAATTCAGTTTTTATACTTCCAGACAATAGTAACAAAAGAATTCAATAATACTTAGAAGTTTTCAGAACACTAATTATGTATGTGTGTATGAAGTAATATTTGTGGCGTATTTTATCTGAAACAAAGGGATAGACAAGCCTATTTTGTTATGCTGAAAATTCATGCTATTTAAGCTGTAAAATATTTTTGAATGGCATCAGTTGTAGTTTGAGTTTCGTTCAAACTCATCAAAATGATCTCTAAAGTTAGTATCACTGTAATACATATTACTGTTTCCTTTGATGTTTTCAGTTGGTCTGTCACATATACATTATACATATTTGTATTAATTCAATTAAATTTATTTAATATCAAACTATATTCATCATAATGTTTTACTGGCCTTACTCGCTGAGTTTTTTATCTTATTTTCTTTTCAGGTACTTTCTCTCTGTGCTGTAGTGGCTCTCACCAACGCAGGAGTCATACATACAGGACACCACCACCCTTCTGTCTCACTTAACCCATTTCAACCAGAGTTGGCTAATTTAATCGCCAACCCATCTATACCTTTAACATATCAACACCCCTTTAACTATCCAGCTAATTTGTACCCCAATCTGCCCCAGCAATACCAATATGCCCCTACTAACTACCCATACACCTTGGCCCCACTCCAATACGCACCTGGATTTGAAGAACTGGCCGTTAACGAGCCGGTAGTGTACGTAGAACCTGTATTACGTTCACATCAGCACGTCATCCCAGAGGCTGTTATCGAAGCGAAGCCGGAAATCGAGGTATTGAATTTTTGCAAGATTTTAAAACATTAGTTTCTACATTCCTATTATTAAAACCTTTTCTCAATCTTCAAAGTTTGAAATATTGGAAAAATATTCCCAAAAAACAATAATATTAATTTTTATTAAATATTATATTATTTATTTGTTCTTGCACCTTCATAGAACTAGAATAAAATCCTATTATTTTAATGACATGTGTAAATAAATACGTTTTAGGAGAAACCTCACTACCTTTTTGCCTATTCCGTCATGGACAACCAAACTGGAGACAACAAGCAACACCAAGAGAGCCGGGAAGGTGATGTTGTTCGCGGTGAATACTCACTGCTGGAATCTGACGGAACTCTACGAAGAGTTGAATACATCGCTGACCCAGTGAAAGGTTTTAACGCTGTGGTTAGTCGCACAAAGCCATAGGAAACGGAAGCTAAAGCCTGATCTCATTTCAGTTGCAGTCTATTGTTTCATATCCCTTGTTATTTTGATTTCTTTATTGTTTTATTAAATAGTAAAATTGTTTATTAACTTTGTTTTTTATAAAAATTTTAAAAGAGCCCTTGTTCGCTTGCACAAACCCCTAACTAAAGAGGATTTTGGGCAAATTAGGTAAACATCTTACAGGTTCTTTAAAAAGCACACTACACATGTTGAACCGATTGCACCTTCCACAGATTAACCTTTATGCTTCATTCTCTATATTTGAGGGCTCAAATACTTTTTCGTTATAAAATTCCTGTTTTAAACAAATACTACGCTGCTGGTATTGACACTAGAAATTGACTGGGCGCCGCAATACCGCCGCTCGAAGGCTAAGGGTTGTTATTTTTGGCGCACTATAAAGTAGGAAAATATATAACGCATATTTTTTCAAATTAGAATGAAAGTTTCATATTTTTTCAGTTCTTTACGTGCATCAATGACTTAATGACCCAATAACTATTTGTTTCCAATTTAGAATATATGATATGAATATTTAAAAGTCGCTGTACAAGGAACGGTTCAGTTAATACACATTTAATAGATTTGCCCTAGATTTCACTCAATCCAACTAAAACACTCACAACAACGAATATTTAAAAAAAGGAATAAAGGAAAAGGTGCAACGTGCAATTTTTTAGGTAAAATACTTTACCTGATAGTATGAATATAAACACTTCGTCGAAACCCTTCTCCGAAACACTCACGAAACAATATAATAGTATAATTGAAAACGTAATTAATATTAACATCAAATTTGCAACTACGAGTATCAATAGAAATACTACGAGTGAGTCTATCCAAGTGATACAAAATTGGCCGTGTCCAATTATGAAGTATAACACAAAATGATAAAGTATATATTAAAGTATCGAACAGTCGCTCAAATTAAAACTTTTCTCTTTATTCATCTCAAAATAGAATAGTTTGTGATGCATTAATGAATAAATAAAATGGATAATTAAATTAGAAAAGTAGTCATGTACATTAATTACATTTATTTAAAACTAAGAATAAATAAATTTCTTTCGAATTAAAGAACATTGTTTCAAATTCAATGGTGGGCGAGTACAGCAGCTGGGGCGTATGCGGAGGCGGCGTGAGCGGGTGCAGAGTTGCTGACGACGGCGTTGAAGCCATGGTGGTCATCAGCGGTGTATTCTACGCGGCGGATTGAGCCGTCAGCTTCAACCAGGGAGTATTCACCACGTACAACATCTCCGTCACGGCTCTCGTGTTGGGATTTGTTGTCACCGGTGTGGCCGTCGGCTACGGAGTAGGCGAAGTCGTAGCTGGGGTGTGCGTCGTATTCCTCGTGTTGGGCAATGATGGCGTGGGCTGGGGCAGCGTGGACAAGTGGAGCAGCGTGGACAACTGGTGCAACGAGAGCAGGGGCGGCTTGGTAGGCCAGACGGGCGGGAGCAATGGCCTGTCCGTGACGAACGATGTTCTGGGAGGAGACTGCACCGGCAGATGAGTAACGAGCGGGAGCAGCGTAGGAAAGAGGTGAGGCATAAGAGAGAGGAGCGGCGTTGTAAGCAATGGGAGCGGCTACGGCGATCGGCTGTTGGTGGCGGATGATGTTTTGTGAGGAGACAGCGGCCGAGTAGCGAGCGGGAGAGGCGTATGCAAGTGGAGCAGATTGGTATGCGACGGGAGTGGCTACGGCGATTGGCTGCTCATGGCGCACGATGCTCTGTGAGGAGACCGCGGAAGCTGGAGAGTAGTGAACTGCGGGAGCAGCCAAGAGACCAGCACTGGCCACCGCTAACACCGCGCTTAAAGCAAGTACCTTAAAAAAGAAAACATTTGTTAATAACCATCTTTTTACTTAATCAAAAATTAATAATAATTTAACAGTTAGACTTACTTTAGAGAACATGTTGAAAGACAGAATTGGTTGAAACTGATTCATCAAAGGACTTAGTGCAAGTTTTATACTAAAGTTTTAAGATTTCCAAGGTCGACGAGGTATAAAGTATAAGCATAATTTATTGGGTTGAATGCAAAAATTCTTACATTAGTGAAAGTTCGGAGACAGGTTTTGCAATCAAGTTCAAGGATTCATTCAAAAACACTCCTTTTATCATTTCTTATAAAAATTTCTAAGAGTTTCAAAACATCATATCCTAAATATTTTTTTTCCTGATATTTATCTCTTTTAATGTAAGAGTTAGACATGCTTTACCGTCTCCGTGGTTCAACTAAACCCGCACCTGAAATTGATTTGACCCACATTAACGCCCTGAAGGCTGACTGCGAATTCGTTTTTAAAGAAAACCAATGAGTGAAACAAATATATGAAATAAATAAACTTAAAAGATAAGCTTTCTAAAAAGCTTAAAAATGTATTACGTCTAGTTTAACCAAACTTTGTGAACTGTCAATAACTTGAACAATTTTTTTGAGTTCATTGATTAGTATCTTAATAAGGAATATCTCTGCAGAAACTTGTCTTTGTGAATCCAAATTGTTCAGTGCAGCGAAAAATGATTCTATTGTGAAGATAGTGCTTGCAACTACTCCACATATTTTTAGTCAAGGTCTATCCTACCTGAAACTTTAGTAGTTTGGACTAAGTTTTACAGTAACCACGGACACACGAAAGCCACTGAAGAAAAGTTAAGTAGAAGACAACCAAGCGTAATGCCCGCCTACCCCACAATATCTTCGGAAACAAGGCCGTTGTGACTAACTTGACACTTGAGTAGTTGCTGTAGATAGCCTTTAGGTGGTTTCTTATTCTGTGTGGTACACCGATTTTTTTCCGATGCGACCAGATGCTAGTCCACTTGACTATGTCAAAAGCCAGCCTATTTACTACTGAGGATCGATTCAACTGCTCTTGTAAGTCTGTAGTGTAGGATTTTACAGAAGTTCTTGGAAGAAAGAGAGAGCAGAGCTATGCTCCTCCAATTCTACATATACTAACATATCTTTTTTTCTTCTCACCAAGAAGCGTCTCGGACTTCCAAATCTCTCTCAATCAAATTCAATTTTCAAAGGGGCGTTTAGTGCTTTGGCAGCAGTTTTATGTCAGCGTTGAATAGTTCCGCTGTTAACAGATTTTCCTTGTGCTTTGCTACACTTCAAATATTGGATTGCATCCTCTACCTCCCCTTATGAAAGGACTAAAGTGTCTATGTCATGTGTGTATAAGAAGACATTATGAGGCGGTAGATTGGACAGGTTCAGTAGAATCTGTCCCCGATTCCTTAAAAACATTGTTAAAGTAATGTCTCCAGCGTTCTAGCTACAACACTGAGTTGGTAATGAAGTGGCCAAGCCAGCTAATCCACCGAAAGATTTCTAACGAATAACTACAGACCGATACTGGGAAACGCCAATCAGCCACCATAATTTATGTCGCAAGTGGAGATAGAAGGGACACACTTTTTGAAGCCCAACCATAACCCCAAACAGGCACTAGATTGGACTCCAAAAAAAAAGCGGAACCTAGGAGGGGCCCTAAACAGTCCTGGCAACGCTCAATTGTGCCAAGGCATAAAGTTGACGTGTTCCGAAGTTAGGTGCGTGGTTCAAGAAAGAACGAGACGTCAAAGCATTGTGGACACCCTCTGCCGCCAAAATAAGTCAAGTAAGTTAAGAAAAAAGTGAAGTAACGGCTCATATACCTATTGTTTGTTGTTTTGTTGTCTACGAACGAAGACAAGGACTTCTCGACTGATTTGAAAAATTCACCATCGGACTGGTCAATGCCTGAGTACTGAGGGCACTAAAAATATCAGATTATTGGACAAAAAAAACAACCCGTTGAGAACTAACAAAAAATTTATGTGAAAATTATAAAAACGTATCAAATAAATAGTTCAAACTCTTAATAGATTTACTAGTAGTAAGTAGTAGGTCATACAAGGTTTTTAATGTTTGTAGCAAGGAAGCAATGTATTAAACAAAATTGAATTTATTTATCAAGCAACCTTTCTACATTCTTTAAAATAATAACCGAAGTAAGAATATATATTCAATGTATAAGATTCTTGAATACACTAAAAAAAATTAATTTCTAGGGATTCACACTACAATAGAAAACATTTCACAATTGTCTATTATAACAGTGCAGAGTATTGCAATGTTAATAATGATTATTGAAAATTATGTGCTTTGAACAAATGATGCAAGTGCTGTGTTCAAAGCTCAAAAAATACATTTGTTATATGTTAATAAAAATTCAGAAATATCAGTCAGTAAAACTAGTTCATTTATTCACAATAAATTATTTAATGTACGATATTTTTTTCAATGTTTGATGTTTAATGGTGGGCGAGAACAGTAGCTGGGGCGTATGCGGGTGCGGCGTGGTGGGCGGGCGCAGAGTTGCTGACGACAGCGTTGAAACCGTTGTGTGGGTCAGCGGTGTATTGAACACGACGGACTGAACCATCGGCTTCGACCAGAGAGTATTCACCGTTAACAACGTCTCCATGACGACTCTCGTGTTGGGATTTGTTATCACCGGTGTGGCCGTCGGCTACGGAGTAGGCGAAGTCGTAGCTGGGGTTTGCGTCGTATTCCTCGTGTTGGGCGACGATGGTGTGGGCTGGAGCAGTGTGGACAAGGGGAGCAGCGTGGACGACTGGAGCGACTACAGCAGGGGCAGCTTGGTAGGCCAGACGGGCGGGAGCAATAGCCTGTCCGTGACTAACGATGTTCTGGGAGGAGACGGCAGATGAGTAACGAGCGGGAGCAGCGTAAGAGAGAGGTGAGGCATAAGAGAGAGGTGCGGCGTTGTAGGCAATGGGCTGTTGGTGGCGAACGATGTTTTGAGATGAGACAGCGGCGGAGTAACGAGCGGGAGAGGCGTATGCCAGCTGAGCAGATTGGTATGCGGGAGCGGCTACCGCGATTGGCTGCTCATGGCGGACAATACTTTGTGACGACACTGCGGACGCTGGTGAGTAGTGGGCTGCTGGAAGGAGGCCTGCAGAAGCTACCGCCAAAACAGCGCTGATGCCGACAATCTGAAATATCAAGCTATATTAGTTGTTGTGGAAATAGTCCATTGATCCGAATTTTATAAGTACACATATAAAAACATACACATTATAATTACACTACATAATATTTTCAAAACTTTGAATAAAAGCTCTATTGATGTAAATGTGAGTTAGAAAAACTTACTTTGGAGAACATGTTGTTTGTACGGTTGCTGTTCGAATGATAATTATAATTTACAAAAATCAACTTTTATACCCAAGTGTCGTTTGAACTTTAAGGTCGACAAGTTTTTTGGTCTACTTTTGATTTTGTTCATGTAAACTTGACTTTTGACTGTAAGAAGTTATTCTTGAATAAGAAATTGTATTTTAATCGAGCGTTAATGATTTTTGGTTAGACCTATTGAGGTTCAAGTGCATTTCACCAATTTTGATGTTAACTATCCATAGCTAGCAATAATTATTAGAAAGCTTATAGTCAATATTGTATATTAGTCAATTTTAAGGTATGTATGTATATGTAATAACTATACAGGGTGGCCAAAAAGTCGTGGATCAAACGCAAATAGGGGATAGATGAGGTCATCAGCGGCAAAAAATTGTTCTACGGGAGGTCTCTACGGTCAACCCCTGCAGAGTTATGATTTATTTTGGTTTTTATATGAAAATTGACTTTTTTTTACTAATTCTTCTTAAAATTCGAAAATTTCTACATCCTGTATCTTTCTCATAATATCCACTAGATTGGTACTGCTAACTCACTTTTCAATCACAGGTTTTATCGGCGTTTAATAGTCTAAGAGTATTTATGATTTGGCATTCTAAAAGGTGGGAGTTTAGTTTATTGTTTTAAATCCAAATCATAAAATATGCTTACATATTTAACACCCCATAAAACCTTGTGAGTTCGAAAGTAGTTAAGCAGATGAGTTCTTGCGTTAGTCATACTATTTATAGTTGTTTATTGAGTGTATTCAAGATAATATTAAGTGATACGATATAACATTTTTTCAAATCATAAATTTTTCTTTACTTTGGACCCCACTGTGAAAAAAAATTACTCCACCGAAAAGTGTCCCTGTACTACAAGTTTTGGCGCATTTAATAGGGATTCTGAAAAGGTATTACACGTGGCCATGAGTCGCTCTTATATCTTTTTCACTTCACTAGCACTTTTCGGTAGAGTAATTTCTTTTCACAGTGGGGTCCGAAACAAACAAAAAGTTTTGATTTGAAAAAAATTTATATCGTATAACTTAATATTATGTTCAATACACTCAATAAACAACTATAAATAGTATGTCTAACGCAAGAACTCATCAGTACCAATTTAGTGGATATTATGAAAAAGATACAGGATGTAGATTTTTTCGAATTTTAATAAGAATTAGTAAAAAAAGTTAATTTTCATATAAAAACCAAAATAAATCATAACTCTGCAGGGGTTGACCGTAGAGACCTCCCGTAGAACAATTTTTTGCCGCTGATGACCTCATCTATCCCCTATTTGCGTTTGATCCACGACTTTTTGGCCATCCTGTAGAATAATAATTCAAATTCTATAAAAAAAAATTATGTTAGCCTATAAGTTTTTCAGTCCAACTGTTACGTAGTCCCAGAAAGATCTGTTGGCCTGATGTAGTTGTACGCGACTACTTCCTTTGAAGACATCGTCCATAACGGCCGGTCAACACTTCCATTGACTGTTGAAACTATTGCTCAAATAAAAAAAAAGATATTGAGTGACCGCTGTTCATAGATTAGGAAAACTGCAGTTGAACTCAGAATTAGAATTAATTTCAATATAATCTATTGAAAAATAAAATCAAATTAATTTTCTTAATTATTTCATAGTCAGTTTCATTTTCCTGCCCCATTTCTCTTGTGTATTCCGGTTAAGATCCTGGCTGATATGATGATATTTTATTAGAATACCTCCAATATCAGTGAATATGATGTGTAATTTTGTGTATATTGTTTATAATCTTTCAACGTTGTTTGAAATAAATGGTATAGTTATCACCCCCAACCAATTATTACAAAATCGTAAAATCTTTTGTAACTTCTAATTCTGATCAAACTAATTCAAAATGTCCTTTATGTAATAGCAAAAATCACGATCAGTTATACAGTTGTCCTGATTTTTTATTTATTTTTTTATTTAATTTTAAAAGGCACACTAACGAAACACATACAAACACTTACAGCGAACACATAACATAGAAAACAAGATACATGCATGTGCATCAATAACAAACACAACATTTAAAGGGAAACATTACAATGATGAAGAGAAAATAACTTAAACATTAAATTAAAAAATAAACTAGATTTAAAAAAATACAAACATGCAATTTACAAATATATATAAAAAAAACAATAATTTTCTACTTTGCAATTATCACTATTGGTCACGGATCAATATTTTTTAAAATTTAATGCAAAGGAACGATTCAATATTATTAAAAAACGGAATTATTGCGTAAACAGTTTAAGCGTAAATAAAACCACGAATTGTAATTCTGTAAAAAGTTGTGAAGCGTGCAATTCTAATACGCACAATACATTGCTGCATTTTTCGTAAAATCCCAGTTTATTTGAACAACAGGCGAAATCCTTCGAACCTGTTATCGATGCACTGCGATCAAATGCTGGAGCCATTGAGTCGCAGCGTGAGTCATCGCTAGTCGATAGTACCCCGCGCGTCGCATCTGGCTATCTGGCACCTAGACGAACCTCATAACAATCACGCGCCGATTTCTTTATGTTCATTGCAGAATGAAAAGGTGGGAGCTTGTAGTTTATTGTTTATCAGAATGCCACATCATAAAATGACTGCTTCACGACTGATTTCAGAGCGACCGCCGATGCGAAAACCGCTGTGTGAGTTCGAAAAGCGAGTTACAGAATCGCAAGGCCGGAATCGGTTTTACTTGGTACAGCCCGCGTATGTACTTTTGATACGCGTGGTAACCCGCATATTTTGCGTTGTCTTATCGACAACGGCTCTCAAAATCATTTATAACAACTGAGTGTTGTAAAACGTTACTTTATGTAAAAATTACTATTAACTATTACTATTAACTAACTATTAACGTTTAAAAATTACAATACGTTTTCCAACCCTATGTTTGTGAACGGGTTTGGTGGCTGTTCGAATGATATAATAGGGGCAACTAATATAGTTATATCCTCTCGTTTTGATATAAAATATTAAATATTCCATTAATTATTCTATCGTGAAACGTATTACTGATTATTTACCCACTTCTAAGGTTGATAGATCGAAGTTGGAATATTTGTTTAACGAACCCCTCGCCGCCGCAAAAAAACTTTGGCGCAAACCTTTTAACGTATGGGCCTCAGATTTCTGTATCTGTTTTATTTGTTTTTTCCTAATAGGCAGGTAGGTTGTCAGGCTTCTGTGCCTGACACACGCTGTCGACTTTTCTGAGTCTAAGGCAAGTCGGTTTTCTCATGATGTTTCCCTTGTGCGAGTGTTAATGCGCACATAGTCCATTAGTGTACACACGGGTACTGAACCTACGACCTCAGGGATGAAAGTCGCAAACACTGTAGCTCCGCAAATATACTTATTAAAAATTTCAACATTTCTTTTTATATTATTCAAAAAGATTCAAAAAGAAATGAATTTTCTACTCATCCGATCGAGATGAGGCTGTAACTTTGTATTATTTCAAAAAGTAACATTTATTGCAGTCTGTTACCGTAGTAAATTTTTACTTGGTAAAATTTAAACAAACCCGCTATTAGATATTAAGATAAGTGTGTTGTATATATCAAAAACAAAGTTTTTGACGTGACTTATGTAATAACAAAAAAAATTAAAGTAATAGTAACCAATGATTAAGAGGTTTGTTGTGTCAGAACCTTCAGTCCATCGAAAATATATTTAATGTAAATGATGCCATACCATAAAACGGGATCTGACAAGGTCGCGAGGTTGCTTAAGTATATTTTAGTCTCTAATTTTGTGTACTTTAAATAGAATAATTAATTGATTGCATTGAACTTAATTTTTAAATTTCTTGTTTCCTTAAAAATTTACTGTGTATAAAACCAGCTGGATTTTATATTATTAAAACGGAACAAATTAGAGTTTATTGCATTTATTTAGAATAAATATAACTGTTAACATCGAACTTATTCTATTGCTATTATAAAAGTAATCAGTGGGCGTAGGCGGGTGCGGCGTGGTGGGCGGGCGCAGAGTTGCTGACGACGGCGTTGAAACCGTTGTGTGGATCAGCGGTGTATTGAACGCGACGGACTGAACCATCGGCTTCGACCAAAGAGTATTCACCGTTAACAACGTCTCCATGACGGCTCTCGTGCTGGGACTTGTTGTCACCGGTGTGGCCGTCGGCTACGGAGTAGGCGAAGTCGTAGCTGGGGTTTGCGTCGTATTCCTCGTGTTGGGCGATGATGGTGTGGGCTGAAGCAGCGTGGACAAGGGGAGCAGCGTGGACGACTGGAGCGACTACAGCAGGGGCAGCTTGGTAGGCAAGACGGGCGGGAGCAATAGCCTGTCCGTGACTAACGATGTTCTGAGAGGAGACTGCGGCAGCAGATGAGTAACGAGCGGGAGCAGCGTAAGAGGTGAGGCTAAGAGAGAGGTGAGGCATTGTAGGCAATGGGCTGTTGGTGGCGGACTATGTTTTGAGATGAGACAGCGGCGGAGTAGCGAGCGGGAGACGCGTAAGAGAGAGGTGAGGCATAAGAGGCGGTGTTGTACGCAATAGGAGCAGCTACAGCGATCGGCTGTTGGTGGCGGACGATGTTCTGTGAGGAGACAGCGGCAGCAGAGGAGTAGCGAGCGGGAGAGGCGTATGAGAGTGGAGCAGATTGGTATGCGACGGGAGCGGCTACGGCGATTGGCTGCTCATGACGCACGATGCTCTGTGAGGAGACCGCGGAAGCTGGAGAGTAGTGAACTGCTGGAGCGGCCAAAAGACCGGCGCTGGACACCGCCAACACGGCGCTCAAAGCAATAATCTGGAAAGAGAATTTAAAATATGTTATATATAGAAGAACACAAATATTACAATATTTTATTATTATTTAATAAATGTTTTTTTTATAAATGTTTACTCACTTTAGAGAACATGTTTACTGATTTTTTCTGTGTTCACTGATGCATTGAAACTGTAACTGCTTGCTTAAATACTAAATCATGTAAGCAATTGATTTGTCGAGGTCAGCGGGTCAGGTTTTTGGGTAGACCAAAACCAGTGCAAATTATTGGTACATGTTTAAAAGTCCTTTGGGCGTGTACTTTCACTATTCCAATGTTAGGCCTGAATTCCGAAGGTATCTGATATTGAAATCTTGTCTTGAGGGCCATCAAAAGTGGCAAGCTTCATAGAAAACAGTGGACTAACAGATGTTGAGACAAGATACACATTTAGAACCCGGCCTTATGTTAGTTTGAAAAGTGAGAGTCTAATATACTCGCAGTTAGGCATGGTTTTCCTTACATTCAATATTAGGTCTAACCAGATTTCTCTACTTTCTCGAGTATAATAAAACTTATAAAAAAATTACCTGCATCATGAGCTCACCCACATGTTTGAACCTTCTTGTATATATTATGTATTTCATATTTGACAATGTTTAGTATAATTGGTTTTTGTTGTATAAAATTTATGTTAGCTGTAGGATTTTACGAAATAAATAATAATTCGGTATCCTTTCCTATTTTAGTATTAATTCAAAACATTGTAACATTCTAATTCTTCTAGTGTCTAGTTCTAACAAAACTATATTTGTCTATAACCACTTTCGTGTAGAAAATTTCTACTGCACATTAGATCTCAATATGAATTCAATCTCTTAGTAATTTCAATAAAAAAAGACAGACTGGCTTTTAGCATTTACAAAACAATTAGTATGAATTTACATTAACTGCGGTACTAATAAGGTATAATTTTACACCGGCCTTAATATATTTTAATTTTGTCTTGTATGTAACTGGAAAGTCAGCGGTTCCTGAAATATAGTTTTAACTACAAGAAGAACCTGGAAAAAATTTTCTTCTAACTAGTTTCATTACCAATAAATAATATTATTATTCTTAAAGCTATTTAAAAATATGTAATGAAACACACTTTACATTTTCAATAGCTTTAAGTCTCGAAACGGGCTTTTTGTGTTAAATATGTAATCCCTCGTAAGTTTCCTCGAAAGAAAAGCTAAGGAAGGCTTGGTGACTTGCTGAATTTCTGATTCTTGGCTAATTAGTTCACCCCATATAATATGTTACGAGTATCTCTCATTCTATTTTATTTTTTCTTTGATTATTGTATTTTGTGTGTTTCTGTGTGTGTTTTTTTTGTAATAAATGTTATGTCTATGTAATATTATGTCCTAATGTAGAGACAAATTTGATATAAAACATGCGATATTTTAAAAGCTTATGCATTATAATGTATTAGTCAATACACTATCAAACCGGTTCCTTGTACAATAGGAAGTAATAATGTTGTGTAAGGTCAGTAAGGCAGAAGTCACTAACCCATCTCAATCGATAGAAAGGTCATTGCCTCGAATGAAGACGAGTCATGACTCATGAGCGAGAGGTTTCTCTGCAGATGTCTTATGTAATATAAATTGTAAGATTTATTTTGTGAATATTTTTGGTCATATTATTCTAATATATTTCGATAGATTGCAGTGAAAGCGTCGAACTTACATTTGGAGTATTAAAATGTAGGTATCAAGGTATACTATATAGTTATATTATTATTTTATACAAGACTAGCGGATCCGACAGACCTTGTCTGTCTTACATACAAAAAACCTCATAATGTTAATCATTTTCTACTCCATTTGAACCCAAAAAAATCATCAAAATCTGTTTACCCGTTTAGGAGGTTAATTACGAACACATGCACAGAAGATTTATATATACCAGCTGTTTATTTGCTGTATAGATAAACAACCTAAAAATTGACTGCAGCGCCGTCTGCCGGACTGATTGCGAGCCAGCAGTTTAAGAGGAGCAGTTTCAGTTATCTCAACTTACTATAAGTTGATTATAATATTTTGAATACATTTTTATTCATTTTACACCTCAAGGAAGGTCAGTAGACAAGGACTACCCAACCGATTTCCATCGACGTGAGACTTTCTTTCCAGTGATATGTGCGCTTATTGGTCTGTCAGAAAAAATTTAACATTTACCAATATAAACTTCTATCGTATATTTACTTACGAACGGTGCCTTAGACCCAAACAGCGAAAACATCGTTGACACAAAAGGCTAATCACCCTTTAAACCGATATCATATAATGTTTGTAAAACCAGTTGCTATTTTTGTAAAAGTAGTATCGACGGCGTTCGGGTGTGAGGCACTGGCTATCTTTTGGGGGGGCCCTTCCCTTCAGAGGGGTTTTTTAGGATGAAGTTTAATAGTATCGTTAAGAAAACTAACACAAGTAAATTAAAAATCTTAATTACTATGACTACATTGTATATAAACAACTAAGCATACTACTAGAAATCTGAGGCTACTTATTTTATTTATTATGTATCGACTTTAGTTATGCTGCATTGTTTTTTACCTAGGTTGGGACTTCACATATAATTATCAAATCGATGTATACAAAGCTATTTAAAGGAGTATGGAGGTCCAAAACTCTATTGAAGGGCACTACTTGGGCATCTTAAAATTTTGACTGTCAAAGTGTTTAATGTGCCATGAATTTTGTTGATATTGACTAAGGCCAAAACCAAGAATTGTGAGCGACATATATTTTTTAACGAACTTGACTTCAAGTTTTATTATATTTATAACTCTACTGAACTTGCATTTAAAAACGTGAGTAAATTTTTTGCCTGGCCAGGCCCAAACCCAAAAAAGGGGGGGACAACGTTTTATACGGTTTTATTATTCAATACGTAATACATATACTCGTATTATCCAATTATAATGGAACCAATGCTTACATATATAAATATATAAGACAATAGTCTATTATAGTCTGAAATTAAACAAACTGAGCTCATCTCGTCTTGTCAATCATTGATATCCATTCATTCTAACGTATCAGTGGTCTAAATATATTTATTTTAAAATGTTGAAAGGAAATTTTAAGTAAATCTGTGATACAAACTATGAATGTGTTATAAGAAAATTAAATAATCAATATCATATCATAACAATATCATCATGTTTTTAATAGTAAGTGCTTGTGAAACTATTTGTCATTTTGGACCGCTACGACGGTGTCATGTTTCGTTATATGCAAGTAGGTGATCGGCTTTCTATGCCTGATGCTAATCAATTTTTGTTTCTAAAACATGCCAGTGTCCTTACGATGTTGTCACGAAATTGAGTGTTAATTACGCACAAAAATCCATCGGCCCACGGCCGTTTTTTGAACGCATTTGCTGAATTCAAAATCAAACAAGGTCGAAGTTATTACTTACTATTTATTACTAGTTATACTTATAAGTTATCACTTATTTACTAGCTATGACCTGCGGCTTCGCACACGTGCATTCGGTAATCTTAGCCTTCTCCAATAATGGAGCACTCATTTGTTAATACATATATAAAAAACTAGCTCAGTCTTCTGTCTCCTTTATTCACTGGCTTTTTTATTATAAAATAAAAATATCCTATTCGAGTACTACATAATGAGGATTACATTAAGTCCATGACATTTTCGTGTACATATATTTCGGCGACTTTTGTTTATAAAGGTTTGAAAAATTTATTACTTTCAGATTATACTCACAATCATACATATAGCGAAAACTAATCAAAGTTCTCCTGAAGGTTATACTAGATATCCTTTTCCAAATAAGATTACCGTTTACCGATCTCTAAGGCAACCAAAAGCTAACAATGGAAACATGCAATACGCTCCTTTGCTCCTAAATCCCCCAGAAAATAACCATGACTATACAGCAACAACTAAATATGATGAGAATACTAAAAATTATGAAGAGGATATTTCCCATTTGGAACCACGTTATGATGAAGATTTTCGCCCAAAAAAACCTCCGTCTTTTGTACCAGGTTATAATTTAGACTTACAAAGAATTCTGGAAAAGGAAAGTAGAACGGAACAAAATGTCAAGGTATTGATTGAACGTTATTAAAGTTTTAATGTAATTTAAAATAGTGTTATTATCTATATACATATAAAAATTAATTGCTCTTCATTGGTCTCGTTAAAACTCGAGAATGGCTGGACCGATTGGGCTAAATTTGATCATGAAATATTTGTGGTAGTTCAGGGAAGGTTTAAAATGTAGGATACATAAAAATACGTAAAGAAAAATATTAAAATTTGTTTTTCATAGCTATAGTATATGTTCCGATCTCTTTGGCCTTTTAAAATGTGTATCAAGTTTTGAAACAAATAAATGTAGGTGATACGAAGTTCACAAGGTCATCTAGTATTACATATCAGTAAATATGTACTTTTTGTTTCGTTCGTTTAACTCGAACATGAAAACCAAAATCCTGTTTTTAACAAAATGCATATAACACTTATAAACGTAAATAAAAAATATTAAAAAAGTAATGCTCTAAATTTACATTTACTGCCACTTCATAAATGAATATGTCAGGTCGCCTATAAAATGCTAATTGAAATAAGTCCGGTGTTTCAGCCTTTAAATAATTAATCATTTTTCATATTATTCGATTTATGCCTTTACAAATCAATTTTTCAGGTAAAAAACCACTTACCCCATATCCAAGAATATAACATAGATAAAGAAAGAGCCAGTATTCCATTTAAAAGTAACAATATTCAGCACAATGTTATTTCCATGCAAAAGGATAGACCGGATATGAAATATAAAGAAGAAGGCCGATTAAACAGAAATAACATCAAAGAAAGCGATAAAAGGTGAATTTTCTCAACATTTATTAAGTAGCGGCCATTTTAGACCTCTAAAACATGCAACATGTTTTTTTTATTGTTTTTCACTGATTGGACAAAAGCCCTATGGGGCCGTTCAAGTATTACGTAAGAAGATTCAGTCAGCAAAAGTAAGCAAAGCTCTCAAAAATAATAAGTGCATGAACGTATTATTTTTTTGTAGAAATCCTCGAAAATGCATTTCGTTTTCAAGCATAGTCAATGTGTGGGTAAAATTTGTAAAAAAGTAAATAATTACTGCAGAAGTTATCACCAAATAAGAAAATAAAAGACCCCTCCCCCCTATAGTGCTTACGTAATACTTGAACTGCCCCTATCACGTGAACATGAATATGAACAGTTTTTTAATTCCTATAGTATATCTGTTATAGCTGTACTGTAACAGATATTTTTTTCTGTTTATTTCAGATATCCCAAGAACCTGTTAGACTTGGAGTCAAAAGGTATTCAACCATATCTTGTTGTTAAAACGCCTCGTCTGCATCTGAACGTTGCACGCGCATACAACTTTGCGTTTATTCCGCATAAGGCGTTACCTCACATAAACGAACTGTTATTACGAAAAATACCTTCGCAACACGAGAAAAATTTTCACAAAACTTTCTTAGCTTCACATTCTAATAAAAATAATTGTCATTCTCCACAACCATATTAAACTATTTGTAAGTTTGTATTGTCATACCTTATATAAATCTCATTCATCAAATTATTATTTTAGGAGTATCTAATATATAAAATTATCGTGTCACAATATTCGTTCCCATACTCCTCCGAAACGGCTCGATAGATTCTTATGAATTTTTTTATGCATATTCAGTAAGTCTGAAAATCGGCTACTATAATTGACAAACCTATAAGTGATAAGGGGTGTCCACCCCAAAAAATTTTTTTGTTTAGATAAATTATTATTTTATTTATTTTTTATTACGTGGCATTAAAAATACATACAACCCTTAATTTTCACCCCTCTACGATTAACCCCTATTTTTTTTATTATTGTAGATAGTTATTTTTATTGAACTAAAAAATGTTTCCTAGAAATAATATACTGTATAGCAAAACAACGTCTGCCGGGTCAGCTAGTTAAATATAAAAAATGAAACCCAACTATCACAAGACAACCAAATAAATTATAATACGACAGACAATATTTAATAATTGCGCCATTATCTACTGGTTTTTAAATGTAGATCAACCTTCAGATAATCAGAGAAGTGTGCAATTTGACCGGATAGGTCGGTTTGCCCAACAATTTAGGCTTTAAAGGCTTGTCATCTAACTTTAGATTGTTATCATGTATCAATTATATTTATTTATTGTATTGGTATCATTTAGCCAGACTGGGCGAAAACTCCTTTTTCAAATGCTTAATGTCGCTAATAGCTTATTTTTATAGTTTTAATTACTTATTGGGCACTCTTGTATATTTACTTTGAAAATAAAATGATATTGTATATTGAAATTAATTCTTCGTTTATTATTTTAAATAAATAGTCAATAATCATTTGGTCAGAGCTACTACTAATAGTAAGTTCTTAGTGGTAGTATTGGTGAGCGGGTGCAGCGTAGACGGGAGCTTTGAGGAGGACAGGTGCGGCCTTGACTAGGGTTGGGGCGGCGGTAGGAGCGGTGTTGTGGACGACCGCGTTGAAACCGCTGTGGTCATCAGCGGAGTACTCTACGGTTCTGATGGAGCCATCAGCTTCGTGGAAAGAGTAAGAGCCCTTTACAACATCACCGTCGCGGACCTCCTGTTGCTGCTTGTCATCACCGGTGTGGGGGTCGGCCACGGAGTAGGAGTACTCGTATTTGGGGTAAGCCTGAAATAAAAGAGATTTAAAAGTAAGTTATAGAATTTACATATGCAAAAAAGAACCAAAGTAATATTATTGTATATAACTTACGATTTCTTCGTGAGCAAGGACCTTAGCGACGGGCGCGGCGTAGTGTACTGGAGCAGTTTGGTAGGCAACTGGGGCAGAGTGGTAGGCAACTGGGGCAGGGGCAGCGTGGTAGGCAACTGGAGCTGGAGCAGCGTGGTAGACGGGAGCGGGAGCGGCATGGTAGACTGGGGCAGCTTGGTAAGCTACAGGGGCGGCGATAGCTAGCTTGGCTTGTTGCTGGTCATGACGGACAATGTTCTGGGAAGAGACGGCCGCAGCGGAGGAGTAGTGAACGGCAGCTGGCAGTAAACCAGCCGACGACACTGTCACCAGAGCGAAGAGAGCTACCAACTGAAAGAATATAACCGTTAAAATTTTGCAGCGGATGACCGGTATCTAGCAACTAAATAAAATAAAATCTAATTTATTTTTAAACTTACTTTGGAGAACATGTTAATTGTTTTTGTTCTGTTAGACGAATGATATTTTTTCGATATGTCGATCATATTTTATAGGTTGGCTTCTTGTGTTACCTTGCCTGAGGGCACTTCAACGGAATGTATTACATAGATTACTTTCATTGACATGCCTACGCGTGACGCATTAGTCAACATAAATCAAACTCAGATTAGTTGATTTCGTATAAATGTGTCCTTGAACTTTCCAATATCCATCCATAATATATTTAGAAAAGGAAAATAGAAAAAACTCATTATTTGTGATTAATTAATTTGATAAAAGAATAAGTAGAAAATAAAGAATACAGCTTTAGGAAGGACAACTAAGGTAGCAGATGTTACATTAAAAATAAATAAACTAAAGTGTAAATGGGCGGGGCACATGGCAAGAGCAATAGAAAAGTGGAGCAAAAAGTACTAAACTGGTGCCCAAACCGCAATAAACGACAAAGAGGAAGACAACTTAGAAGGTGTATAGACAAAGTTAAAGAAACAGTAGGTGGTACATGGCAAAGAGTGCACAGTGCAGAGAGGAATGGCGGGATTAGGAAGGAGGTCTGTGCCAAAAAAGGGCACACAGAAGAAAAAAAAGAAGATAGATATCTAAATGTGTTTCAGTATCAACGTATACCAAATAAAAGGATATAATTATTATTATTAATTTGTTAAAACATCTTTTGCTTGGTTTGAAGTAAGGTGAAAAACGTGGAGCAGATGTTGTCCATGCACTCTCCTTCCACTGTGTGCACTGTACTCCATGTGAATAGAACTATCAGCTAGCTTGCTTCCTGCCTCTGCCAGATGTTAATTACTGCAGAAGATTCTCCTATCTTTGATATATAAATTATAATAATACTAGTGGACCCCACAGACGTTGTCCTGCATGATATTTAAAGCGATTAGGATATTAAGCAAAGTATGAAAGTACCGACTGCAGTCATCTGGGGCTGATTTTAATCTAAACCATTCCCAGATCCCCCTTGAACAAAAAATTTCATCAAAATCGGTCCAGTCGTTTGAGAGGAGTTCAGTCACATACACACGCACAGAAAAATTATATATTAAGATATCAACATTTGATAAGCCCATGATATTTAATACTAATAAATTGCATTGTGTTTTAATCGTTTCGCTATCGTTTTATTCACCAAAATTTAAATTATAAACCTCATTTAAAATAACTGAGTTGGTTAACTTTATTCTGAGGAAAACTGCATACTTCACTGAACTAAGAAGAAGGTTAATCATATTAGTGTTTAGATGGTAGAAAATGTATTTAATCCCCATTCTAACAACCACTTAAACATTTGTTATTAAACAATACTTGGGTCTGAAAAATAAATTGCTGCAACCATATTTGCAAAATTGTTGTGTCAGCAAATTAAAAAAAACGAACACTAATTTTAAAACGAATGTTAATGAAACGCGACATTTTAAGAGATTTTCAGCAATTGAAAAAAAATTATAAAAAATAAATATTATAATACATTAATAAAATCTTTATTCATGACAGAAATATGATTGTGACAAAATTTATATATCGCTAGACCCTACTTGTTGTGGGTAACTAGATGACCATTATTCTACTAATAACAGTAGGAAAACGGGCATAAAGCTCACCTGATATTAAGTGATACCGCCGCCTATGGACACTCTCAATGCCAGAGGGCTCGCGAGTGCGTTGCTGGCCTTTTAAGAATTGGTAGTCTACTTTTCTTGAAGGGCCCTATGAATTGGTTCGGAAATACTTAAGCACGAAAACTTATCAAAATGTAGCTATACCCCATGATTTCGCGCATTTCTTTTCACTTTATGATAATATATATGTTACTAGCGGACCTATACACACATCTTAAATACAAAATTTCAAACTTAAAAAACAAATAAAAACATCTACTTGTAAATAATCTGAACTATTATAGAATCCACTTAAACACACATGAAATCTAACATGACTTTCTTTTATACATATATCTGTTGCAAATATGCTGCACTAGAGAGAACGAAAATCAGAAAAGGCATAGATCTTCAAGGCATCAAATTTTGAACTGAAATTGAATGCATTGAACATATTATTTATGTTTTTTCGGTCAAATTCCACACTGTGCGATTATTTAATGTGATAAAGGAAATAATAATTTTATTAAATTAGTAAACTTCCGTCTAAAATTGTGTGAAGATGAGTTAATAATATCAATGGAACGAGTTTCTATCGAGGAAATTACGCAAATCTTTGGGAAATAGAATTTGGAAGCTTTAATTACAGGAAATTAATAACAACGACTAACAAAAACTAAGTGTACTTCCGTTTATATTAACATGCCCTAGTTGATTCGGTTTAAGAAAAAGTACAGTCCAAGCTAATTATTATACAAAGAAACTTCCACGGACGAATTAGCTACCACTAAAATTTGCAGATGACTCCAATGCGGCAAATATTTTCGTTTATATCACATACAAACAATACATACACATAGAGAAAAAACAACATAAAATAAAACAGTAATAGATTAAAATATTTAGAAAAAGACTAACTATTTTGTACAGTATAAGAAATGAGGTCTCGTCTGTTAATCTATGCAATTTACTTATAGTTTTTCTGAGGGTACGAATAGTAATGGCACCCTGAGGGTTAGGCACTAGAGCACTGCCTTTCCCTATTAGTACGTAGGTTTGTGACCTCAAAATTCAAAATTTGTTTTTAGTTGGTGTTATTACTACTGGTACATGGGATTAAAGATTAAAGGTTGTCATTGTGAAAAGACATTAAAAATGATTTGTGTTTTAATTATAATTTTTTATGAGAAAAGGTCTATAAAAGATGTTGATTTAACTAAATAACCGTTTCAATAAAAACATAAAATACTTGGTATATTCTTATATTTTATAATAAATAATCATTGTTAACTCCAATCAATGTGTAACACTTTTAAAGTGCTAATTTAGTGATAGTATTGGTGAGCGGGTGCAGCGTAGACGGGAGCTTTGAGGAGGACAGGTGCGGCCTTGACTAGGGTTGGGGCGGCGGTAGGAGCGGTGTTGTGGACGACCGCGTTGAAACCGCTGTGGTCATCAGCGGAGTACTCTACGGTTCTGATGGAGCCATCAGCTTCGTGGAAAGAGTAGGAGCCCTTTACGACATCACCGTCGCGGACCTCCTGTTGCTGCTTGTCATCACCGGTGTGAGGGTCGGCCACGGAGTAAGAGTACTCGTATTTGGGGTAAGCCTGCAATAAAAAAGAATTAAAAGTAAGTTATAGAATTTCCAAATGCAAGACAGAACCAAAGTCAAGACAGTATTACTGTAAATGACTTACGATTTCTTCGTGAGCAAGGACCTTAGCGACGGGAGCGGTGTAGTGAACTGGGGCAGTTTGGTAGGCAACTGGGGCAGCGTGGTAGGCAACTGGAGCTGGAGCAGAATGGTAGACGGGAGCGGGAGCGGCATGGTAGACTGGGGCAGCCTGGTAAGCGACAGGGGCGGCAATAGCCAGCTTGGCTTGTTGCTGGTCATGACGGACAATGCTCTGGGAAGAGACGGCCGCAGCTGAAGAGTAGTGAACGGCACCTGGGAGAAGACCAGCTGACGACACGGCCACCAGGGCGCAGAGCACTACTACCTATAAACACACGGGTAAAATATGTTAAAATGTTTATAGATTTTATAAATCTTTAGCCTACTTTTGCATTACTTACTTTGGAAAACATGTTTCGTTGATATGAATTTCAACTGATGAATGATATAAACTGTCTCTGTGCCACTGATCTTATATACGAAAAAAATATTTTGATATTACTTCAGATGACAGTGGTGGAAGTTGTCTAACATGATTAGAGTTGACCTTGCTTTCAGCCATTAATGCGTAGGGTTCTAATAGTGAAGTTTTCAAATAAGTCCTGTAGTTTCAAAAAAATAAGCCTACTATCTATTGTATCATTTTTTAAAGTTAAAAAAAATTAAATGAGTCGAGTAGTTCTAAGATAATTGAAACAAAAAAACAAATCTTAGCTCTTTATAATATTAGTATAGATGCGAGAGTAAGTTTGTTTCAGTCTAAGAAACTATTGCAGTCAAATATTTGCGCTGAATCTCATAAAAACATTATAGCTCCAAATAAGCATAATTATATAATATAAAAGCCATTATATACCAAGGGTTACGTATTCATATTAGATATTTATATATTCAACTTTACAGTTCCATGGTCTTAACTTGACCTTACTTATTTCTGGGTCATGGACAGAGTTATAAATATGGTGTATAAAATTTTAAAAACTAGTTTTACAAATTTCCGTATATCTGAACCAGTTATATATAATAGCAGTAAATTGATGGAACCGTACTTAGGTATCCAACCTTAATATTTGAATGCTTTATCATTTCCATTAAACAAATTAATCGCGTCCGCGGTTATATTAGTATATTTAAAAGCGTCGTTTTTTGAACTTTGACTGCAAGCAATGATGTTAAACATGACTAAATGGTACTAACCATATAGATTATATTAGAACATAGATTTTCCTATACATTAGAACTCAAAAATAAAACTAAGTATAAGAACTTAACCAAATACAAACCACATAAAAACCTCGAATTCGTAAAGGCTAAACAGCATAGTTCCTTTTTGAACCTATACCCTATGAAATTGCACGTTGTTTTTTGTCATGCTGATATTTCTTTATTACGAGTATAAAAAAATTCCAATATCCCCGACTTTTGTGGTGCGGCACCTTATATTATACACATATTTTGTACAAATATACTACTATATATATAATAAAGAAATGTCCTAATATGTGGATTAACGCATCAAGGTAGCGGGTTTATTACCGATACTTTTGTTGTATACCGTGTGTACCGTAACAAAATGTTGACCCGTAAGGCCTTAGCTCACCAGGAGGAATTCCAACGGGTTCTGCAGGAATTGAAGGTCTCCAAGGAGTTGGTTGAGCAATTGCTTAAAGAACGGGATGACAGTGAAAAAGAAATGTTG